TCGTATAATACTAAGATGGATTTCCAGCACTCACACACTCGAGCGACTCTTAATGACTCTCTCGAGCACCCAAAACACATACGACGCGTGTAACCAAAAAGCGGCAGTATAAAAAAAGCTAAAAAAAGGCCAGACATAGACGAACCTTTAATTATAGCCAAGTTAACCCTTCCGTTTTTGCTCTTTTTCTTTGTGTAAGCAAAAGTTGAAGAAGTGAAAAAGTGCTGTAACTTTCTGGTATATTTTGCGGGGCAATCAAAAATGGACACAAGACAAAATAGACCCTTCCTTGTCCCCGAAATTTGAAAAGGGAAAAGTTAAAGACAGAAAAGAAAGGCGTCTATCAGAACAAGCTTTTTAATTAGTCCTTTTTGACAGCAGAAGTATGAAACTGAACAGTTCTCAGAACAGCCTTGAGCATTGAATGTTATACCAAATATTTACCTAATTTAGTAATTCCTCCGAGCAGAACTAGACTATGTGATAGGCAATGTAAAAGTTTTTGCTAAGTCTAACTATAAATTTATACTGGCTTTAATTTTAAGGTTTTCAAAAAGGCCAACGGTAATTTTTACACTCAGGAAGTTGAACTTTTTTAGCTGCACATGTGCCACCAGAGAATTAAGCCGTAAAATCTTCTTACAATTCCCAGGAAGACATAAACTACACTCAGACCACCAGAAAAAGGAAATAAAAGCCAAAATGAAGGACATAAAATTCTTTAATAGACTGAAAATGAAACTTCTGCCTTGCCTCGAAGGATTTAATAAACACCTAAACAGGCAGACGGTGACAGTTTCCGCCAAAAACACGCACAAATACAGAGACAATTTCCTGGTTGAATTGAGAAACATTTGGCTCTTAAGACGCGTTAGCCAAATAGTAAATATAAGCCACAAGAGACTCACAGACAAATAGAGAACGCCGAAGAAAACTCGCAGCAAAGAGAGAATCAGGAAACATTAAAGTGAATTATGGCCAAGGCGCCAAAATGTCGCCAAATAATGCGGCGCAAATTGCTCGAATAAGAATCGACATGGATAAAGGTAAAAAGAGCATCAAGTCAAGTGAGCAAAAAGTTGGAAAATTCTTGAAATAAAAATAATAAATGGTACAAAAAGAATTATTTGATAACTAAAACTGTCATTGCTAGCTTTAAATTGTAAAAGATTTAGTTTAAAACCAATCTCCTAAGAGTCACACAACGCTTTAATTATGATTTCATATCTTAAATTAAACATTCTCATTACTTTCCTTGAATTAAACATATAAATACGTAGACAAATAATTAAATAAAATATTGAGTACCCTTTTAAGTTAACTAAAGATTTTAAAGATTTTAGATGGATACATTTTCATTGAATCGGCCCAAAATATAATTTTTACAAAAAATAAATATATAAAAATTTTGTTAATAATTAAAAACTTGACCAAATATAGACTTCAGTTACAATTGTATTTTTGTTGCTGGGATATAATAGATAAATTAACTACAATTTTATATCAAAATTAAATTTCAATTAAAGTGTTAAGAAAGTAACATGTGGGAAAAACTTAGCCGGTCAAAAGCGCCTTTAGCATCTGAGCACAAAAATAATGTTATCATGTAACATGAATGGAAAACAGGAAAGTCGGAAAAACTTTACAAAGCACTAAATCTAAACATTTTTTCTGCCCACCTTAGGCGTAAGGCAAAACACCAAAAAAGAGCGACCAAATCACAAACAAACATTAATTTGCATAATTTACTGTGGACACCCAAACGAAAATGTGCCAGAATTTCGCAGCCAGTATTTTTAAACCATTTCCTTTTCTTTGCATTCATTTTCTCCTTTGTGGGGGTCTGAGGTTCTTAATGCATAATTTAACAGCAGCCAGAAAAGCCAGAGGGGAAGGACAAAAGGAGCGCAGCACGGCAACGAGAGCCCAAGGAAGTTGGGAACAATCAACAACTGCGTGTTGTTATTCAAAGCACACGCACACCGACAATCGCACACACTCGCACCAACCACCAGACGCCACACGGCGTATACGCAACGTGAATCATGGAAGCGGGACAAGACTAACGAGGCCTAGGCTTGAAAAAAAATACGAAAAATATAAGAGGAGTGCTGGGCGGTTGGGGCAGTAAGTATAACATAAAGGTAATGAAGAGCAACAGAGCGGAGCCGTAAAGAAGCAATTTTCCGCACACACAGATTTTCCTTTTCAACTCAAATTTCGTTTGAATTTTGCATTGGGTTGGGTTTCCTCAACAGTTTTTCACACATTTTTAAACGGATTCAAGTCACAAGTCATGTAATAGCACACGCGTCAGTTGGAAATCCTTTTGGCACTTAAAATGTATTTTTTGTTGCTTGTAACTGGATAATTTTCTTATATTTTCTTAGGCGTTTTCTTAAAACCATAAAGGTGTTACAGTACGTTTGAGTACGAGCCAACAACTCGAACCACTATTTACAACTCCGCTTGAGTGTAAGTTTCAAACTCGACTGAAGCGTTGAGCGCTTTGCGTCCGTCTTTTAAGCACTTTTCCGCCACTCAACTTGAGCTTCGTCGCCGCCTACGCACGAGTCCTCGTCGAGTGAATTTCCCGGATGAGTGGAAAGCCGCTCGCCTCCCGCGCGTTTCTCTCCTGCGGTTGAGTTTTCCCCGCGGCATTCGCTCTTTGCCGTGCTCTCAATGTCACTCGCAGGGCTCGAGCACCTGCTCTGGGCCATATTTCGTTGGTTGCGTTGATGGGTTTTGGCTGGTGGGCAGGAGCGGATTCCTTTCCCTGCCAAGGCCTTAAAATTGATAAAGTGATTAGGAAGTACTGAGTGGTTAAAATACGTTAGTTTAGATGGGTAAAAGTTATTTTAAAAACGTCTAATGTTGTAAATCTTAAAATTATGATTATTATAATGTCAATAAATACATTTTTTTTTCAACATTCAAAAAGATTAAAGTTTACTATTTGAATGTCGATTTTAAATGTTATTAAAGTAATAGTAAGTAAAGTCTTAATACAAAGTCTTAAAAAATGTTGATTTTAATATATATATGTGTATTAATGAGCAAGGTCCTTTGACCGTTTATCATTACTTATTACGTTATCATACTCTTTTCACTTTATCTAAATTTGTTTGGTTGTCTAAATTTAAAATGAACTACTACTAAACATCTATAAAACAAACAACCAAAAACCTACCAAAAACATCTACACACGGCAAGACGAGGATTACTTGTCACAAAGCTCATGGCATAATAAATATCCTAAGACTTCAGTAAAATTGAGTAATATTTGCTAAAGTCATTGAATTCAGGGCCATATATCTTTAAAAGCTCCAACCCTTCAGACCTTGATAATCCTTTCACCACTTAAGGCTAGCCATGCTGAAGCTCTTCCACTCGTAATTTAGCCAATAAATGAAGCAACAAATATTAATTAGTGTGAACACAACCGGATGCTGCATGGCCGTGGTTTCGGCAGTGAAACATGCACCAAGTTGAAGAAGAACTGGCCGAGCAACAGTGGAACAAATGTAAATAACAAATGGGGAGTGAAAGAGAACCATCACGAGAGAGCGCCGAAAGCCGGCCCGCCCCCATTTCATCCGCCCACGCAACCACCCACCGCATCACCCACATCCCCCTTTAGTCCCGTAGTTCCTGAGAATGTATCCAATAGTTTATGGTGCCAACCGGGCGACTTTCCTGGGCGCCCACGCAGTCCAGCAGGTGACGCTGATTCGACGACGGCCACATCGCGTTGGCGTTGCACTCAAATGCGAAAAGCGACAGACAAAAGCTTTTCCGAGGGCGGATAATAAACAGAGACTACGTTTATGGTGCGACATTCGCCATTTCTTAATTGGGATCATTTTAAATCGGTGGTGTTTACTCACCCTTAATTAAATTACAATTTTTAATAACAACGCTTTGTGGTTTTCCTCTTAAAGTAATAGCTTTATAATCTTGTTTTCAAATTTGATCTATATACAACTTAATCAAAATAATTGGTTGCATTTTTGGGAAATCATTTAAAACTACAAAACTGTAAGCTTTTCCTCTTTAAGCGTTAATTTTATACACTTATGTTCAAATTTCAAAAAATTAAATCTAACAGATGGTTCCATATGCAATTCCATTGGTCAGAATATATTTAATTACAAGCTTTGCTGTTTTTACCATGTTTAACTTAATTTCTTATGACTTTTAAAATAATTCTTCGATTCGGAAACAGAACATTACGATTTGTAGGCGTTTAAGTTAGATTGTGGAACAGCCGGACATACAGACGGAAATGGCTAGATCGACGCCAATATTGATCCACATCAATAATATATACTACTTAATTCCATACTTTTTAACAAATATTAAATACAGTAACAGAAAAGATTTGTTTGTAATCGCATTAAAAAATAATAAATCGTAAAGAATTTAAAAAAAATGTTAACTCAATTGGCAGAAACCAAGCCAGACCATTTAACATTAACATAAATTGACATTCTCTGGTTAAAACTATAGTTATATAAAGTAATTTTGGGTAACGAAGGTACACAGCTATTACCGACTATTAATGAACAAACTAATAGCTAATTAAAAAATAACAACGGGCTGTTTAAAGACTTGTAATAATATGTAATTTTAGTTACCGCCCAGCTAGAAAAGAAAACTCTCTCCTGATGCAAACTTTATTGCAGGCCAAGTCAAAGTTGGTCCACTCAGTGAGGCCCTTAATCAACCAATCAAGCCAAGACAAACAAACAGGCAAATGCACAAGCCAAAGGACAAGTACAAGTGCAATTTCCTAATCAACAAGAATGACGCATTCAAGAAAACTGTTTGCACAACCCGACTTGCCAGACATATCGCTTAGGGTCCCGGCATCACTCAATTTGTCTCTGTTTGCCAAAGGCCGAGGGAAAAGTGGAGCTGGTCCCACGACATTATCAAATGGGCTCATCACCCAACGCATTTGTTTATTTAATAATTCAGTGGAGTGGATCCGGGGTGATTCATAAGTGGCGTCGCAGGAAGGACATCACACGCAGCTTGGCCAGATTCATCTGCACGCTGTCCGTCACTCGGATGCTGGCCAAATCCTCCACATGCGAGTAGCCTGTGGCACGTGGCACAAAACTAAGCGGGGTCTCTCAATCACTTGCCAAGGACTCACCCGTCAGGACAAAGGCCTGGTTGCCCGTTTGCTGGCCCAGAGCACGCCACGGATCCAACTGGCCATGCGTGAATATTACCTGTGCATAACGCTCGCTCTGATTGAAGCCGTATCCGCCGAATTTTCTATTCGTCTGCTCAACGCCCTGGGCCAATTTCTGGGCAGTCTGCTCCGCTCCAAACGCATCGTGGCAGAGTTTTTCGAAATAGGACAAGGGCACCTGATTGGCAAAGGCGGCAGACGAAGAGGAGTTCGACTTCGTGGTGGTGTACCAGCCGAATTCATTGCAGGTTTGGTAGAACCATGCACGAGCTAAGAACCAAATTTTATGAAACAATAATTCATTGCGGTTTTGCTTAGTTACTTTCGGAACTTTGATCTGTATCCTCACGGAATATTTGTAGCATGGATGAGTAGCCAAAGTCCTGGCAATCACTGAAGCGACTGCCTTCTGAATACAGTAGTTCCAAGAAGTTTACGAACGCCACTTCATCATTGGAATTTAGTGACATTAAAGTCTCGCAAAGGCGAGGTATATAAGCACTGTGAAATAATACAAATTATTGAAAGTACCCTTATTAGAAGATTGTTGCCCTCACCTATAACTTTGCACCACCAAAGCAAAATAATTGCCCAGCCCATTGAAGAAAGCTGCCTTATCCAGGGGATCATTGGGATTGTAATCCTCGCAGCCATTGAATTTATGAAGTAGCTCCTTGATTGAATGATCATTAAATAACTTATCCAAGTAATTAAAGCCTTTTTCAATTTGTAATGAGCAATTATGACCATAGCTTAATTGAATAGAACTGCTGACCAATTCCATGTATTCTAAAAAAAAAATGTTAAGGAAAACTTCGTGGAAACTTCCGTCTCACCATAAAAATCCTCCTTGGCCAATAATGGAGCACTGGAAGCCCAACTGGCAGCTATTAAATCTGGATACAGTTGAGTCATCCAGGCCACCAAGCTGCCCGAATAAGAGCCTCCAACCAAAATGACTTTGGAGTCTCTCATTTCGGCGTTTTTCGCCTTTTGATGGCGTATGAAGTGAGCCAAGTCAGCTAAAGATTGATGAAGATTTAGTTGCTTGAGGTGATGCATTTGAAAACTCTGTTTTCTGTAGATTTAAAAATTAAAGATTACTACTTTCATATGTTTTTGGTTACCTCACCCAAAGGGCAAACTCCGTCCATAATAGCGATGTTCGGTGTAGAAAAGCATGCCAGAATTTTCGACAGCCATGTCGTGTGTTAAACCAGTGCTCATTAGTCCTCGGCTGATGGTCCACTCACCTCCCACAAATATGTAGATAGGTCCTTGAGGGCTGTGATACTTGGCGTTGCGAAAATACCGCTAGCAAATCAATTATCGTTTTTGTGTTTAAAGAGTACTTTACTAGATATTATGCCATTTTATTACCATTTTCCAAGATTGATTGTTTTTTACATCAAAATGGTCAACCTTTTGATCCAACCAAAGTTCCTCAACAGAAGCTTCTTCGTTTTTTGTATAAGACCCTGAGATGGGTTCCAGGTTAAGCAATTCCAAGTTTCGTTTATAAGGATTAAAAATTGCCAAAAAACTTGGCAACAAAAATATAATTTGCACAGCAAAATATAGCAACTTCATGTTATAAATTTTCAAATAAATAAATTTAAGTACTGCCGAAGTTTATATGGAAACGGTGTACCCCTATGGCATGAATAATGAATAATTTAATAAAAATTCAGAGATATGCATAGTTGAGTGCACTAGGACAAGGTTACTGCAAAATAAAATATTCCAAAAACTGATAAAAGTAAAACACCACAAAACGTATTCGTACTAAAAATACCTGTATGATTCACATTTCGTTCTTCTGTTAAATTTTATATTTATTCCCACGTCAGTCTCCGTAAAACTTAAGAAGCTTTTAAATTTTACTACTTTCACCTATTCTAAATCGCATGGCAACTTAGCCAAGTTCAGCCGGCTCTAAGCCGCTTCAAGCCGTCACCTCGTATACGCAATGTCGCTGCAGGCAGATAAACAAACACCCGCTAAAATAAAACCACACAAAAACAAAGTGCAGGCAACGCGAAAAAAATCATAAAAATATTTTTACAGCGTTGACATGGAAAAAAGGGAACATAAAAATATAAGCAGCTATGGGAACAAGCAACAGGAGAATGCACAAAATGTGTAATTGGCATATTACTCATACGCCCCATACCCAGGACAACGGCGCGGGACGGCCGAACAGCTCTGCGATGCAGGATTTCAGCCGTGTCAGCGTGCGTCCTGTGTATACAATGTGAAAGGATTGCGGAAGCGAAAGTCAAACTGGGAAAACTTATGAGCAGAACTCCCTTAGCATGCGACGGCAAGGGAGAAAAATGAAAAATTCCTGGGTAGATTTTTCTTGCCATTTTTTTTCCTTTTCCGTGCATGTTTAAAGAAAACGTATAGTAATAATCTGAAATAAATTGGTGGTTCTTATTTTTCAACACAAATTAAATAAAAACCTAAAAATTAAAAACAACAAATTGTCTAAAACATTCAAATTTCAAGTCATTAAAATTATTTTGCACTTAGAAATAAAACCTGACAAAATATTAATAGGTATATCTTTTACACTATTATATCTATCCATTTGTTTTATAAAACTATAATATATAATACGTTATAAATGAGGTTATATTTGGTTAATAATATTTTCATAACTTTTTCATCTTTTTAGTTTGTATAAAATTTCAGACGACTATACTATTATATTTATTAGTCCAATTTACAGAATTTCTCAGCAATCAATACTTCTAGTGGGTTACTTGATATACCAAACATTCCAGCATAATAAACCCCATTCGCTGGGGGACTCGTAACGACAATGGAGGCGCTATGAAAAGTTATTATTATTGAGGCTCTTTGTCGCCGTTGACTTCGTCGTTGTTGTTATTCTTCGTCTACTCTTTCCAGCAGAAATTGCAAATTGGTTAAATCGTGCAATTGATGTTGAGCCTGTTATTTGCTCTGTTGTTTTTGCTACCCTGAGGTTGGGCGTAATGACGGAGAAAAGGATTATCCACCATGAGACCAATTCACGACGCAGAAAAAATGTACAAAGAATGGTTCGCAAAAATCATCAGCATATAAATAACGTTTTACGTGCAGGAAAGAATTCCACATGTGCTCGGAAGCCACACCCACCATTCACCATACAATAAGGGGGCATGCATATCTCATATGAATATTTATAAAAAAGCCCTCTTTTGTGAGCCCATTTTTGGTTGTCAGAAAAAGAATTTAAAATTGCAGTTGAGTTAAAGAGAAAATTAATTAATTAAAGGCCACATTTCAGATGATAGCTTATTGAAGAATAAAGAAACAAGAACTATTTAACTTGCCAGTTTGGTTTGAGCGTGATTAAAAAGTTCACCTCGAGTTTCCAAAATATGTTTATTTATCTCGGCCGAATTAATTTCGTGCAACGATTTTTTATCATTTATTTTTAAGGAATGCTTTTGCCTCTAAATTTATTTTCTGGAATGCAAAAAATATTTTGTTTAACATATGTTTATATATTATATTTATTTTTAACTATTATTTATAAATCTTTTACCATGTAATTTAACAAGACGAAAAATATTCATTAAACGTATTTCCTTAGTCTGCTTTTATATATTACATAAAATAATGCGTTCGTTGCAATGAACTTTTAATAACAAATATAAGATTTGGCACCTTATTAGCATGATCTACAGATCATTAAACAGACAATTTAACTAAAAGCGCGCGTGCCCCTCTTTTTGTTCATCCTTACTTTTGCCCCTCGCCAAATATTTGTACGTTCTCAGCTGTGAAAAGCTTTCGGCTGCGAGCATGCGCTCGGAAAAAGGACTCAAGCCGAGTGATTCTCATGGACAACCCTCCTCGAGAGCTTTCCGGCGCTCTCTAACTCCAAAGTAACGTCCTTTATGAATGGCCTCCTGTTGCTCGAGACATAACAGGTGGTAAGGCTCCGAGAGATAGCTTTAATGGAGCTGTTGATGGCTCACCGAAAGTAGAGCCCGAAAGTAGAGGCAAGTTCACCCACGGCGCATATCGATGGGGCTGTGGCTTGAGTGCCAGCTTTCGGACACCTTGACACTGTGACACACTAAAAAAAAGTCGAGGCGAATTTAAATTACTGCAACAACAACACGAGGACCATGACTGGCTCAGGCCTTGAATTTTGTTTATCGCTCTGATGTGGATTAGCTTCGCTTCTCGGCACTGCTTTTAGGTATGGAAGAAGCAAGCGACTTTGTCGCTTCTAAGCTTATATTCCGCCTTGTAAAGTATAAAATTAATGGACAATGTGGATAGAATTAAACGAGAATGTGTAGACTTCCGAGGGGGTTACTATTCCAAGTACACGTTTTCTGTAAATAAAATAATTAAAGTATGAATTGCAAGAAGTTACAGTCATTTTAAAAATATGAAGACATCGGTAACAGGAAAAATAGTCAAGTAATGATATTTTTGTCAAGAATATTATTTATTATTTTGTCTTTTAAAATATATTACATTTTCTATTAACATAATTTTGTAATATCGGAACCATCTTAAATTTTTAGATAATTTTCAAAAAAAATGTTCTTCCTTACAACTTCACAGTTACTGATGTTGAAAATCGCTTAAAATTGTTAACGATTTAATATCTTTTAATCAAAGCAAAAATCATGTACAAAAATGAGTGTTTTTCAACTACTGCGTAATTTATTAGTTTACAATCCAACTCAGAGGGGAGAACATTTCACCTTTAAAAGTTATCTTCACAAGTTTAAATCGATAATTAAACTGGAAAGTTATTCTTCTCCCATGGGAACTGGTTATCCGACCAACTTTGTCCACTTTTCAAATTCAGAATCATAATTTAATAAGTGTTCGAGCTGGCTCTGGAGGAGGAGCAGCTCTGCTGATGCCCCTTGGTGGGTGCTTAATTAGCCGTGGGTTCGTATTTTTCCAGCTGGCTAAAGCACTCTAATTGAGTCTATTAAATGGTTGTTCAGGTGGGTGGCAAAGTCAGTCTGTTTTCTAAGTAAAATTAAAACGATACCTTTTCTGCTGAAGTTCCAGGAATTCTTGAGTTCAAATTCACTAGAATTGTGTTGTTAACTTTATTATTTATTTTATTTTTCGTGCAAGATAGGGGTATGTTTTATAAAAACGTGTGTATCCACTGTGCTTAAATTGGAATTATACAAAAAGTTTTTCTTAAACTATAGACTATATCCAATCAATTTCTTTATTTCAAAACGTTTTTTCCATTTTTATTAGGCGATGATAACATTGTTTGGCATCTGAAATGCGTTGTACAAATTAACGTTTTTTAATTTTATATTTTACAAAAAGATTTAAAAGCTTTTTTGAACTTGCAGTGTTTCTTGTGGCTTACACATTTTTAACGAACGTTTTAAACCTGCATAATAAAAATTTTCCAATGCTTAATAATTTAAAATAAAAAAAATGTTAGGGAAAAGAATCCTAAGAGGTTGAATCTGGGTTGAAATTGTTTTGAGGTGGTGAAGCATGAGCTTCTTGGTTCTGAAGATTGTCAGCAGATTTCGATTGATTTTTCTGTTTAGCAGTTTTTTTGTTTTCGTTCCTGTTCTTTTGATTCAAATTTGGGCGATTTTGATTGGGATTCTGGTTATTTATACGATATAGTTGATTTTGAGGTTTCTGCAAATTCTGATTGTGTTTATAATTTTTTGGCCAAGCTTCTTGACCGGCAAATGCCTGACTCGGGTAATGTGAAATTCCGAACTCGTGCATTGGCGGTGGTGCTCGAAATCTATTAAATATAGGGTGCCGTAATTGGTTATGATGTTGATTAGGCGGAAAACGAGGACCATTTCTAAGATTTCCATGACTTAGCATTGTTCCGCGCGGGTTATAGACAGGTGCTCGATTATTAAACTTATACGATTGCGGTGGATTCATCGCATGGATGTTAAGTGTCGGATTGTTGGAGTTCAGCTGATTCTTTATGTTGATTGGTGGTCCGCATGTTAAGTTTGCAAATGCATTCTCAACCTGCTGCATTTGAGGCGTTTGAAAAGGGTTCTTTGAGACTTCTTTACGCTGCCAGTGGTTATATAGGTGAGCTTTAAGATCCCGCAGTGAATCGGAGACAAATTCGCACTGGTTACAAATCAGCGGCTTGGATAAAAGCTTCTCTACCAGCGATTTCGGCAGTCGCGCGAAGCAATTCTCCTTCTCCAGCTGAGCGTACAGTTCTAGAATGAAAATGGTAAGGGAAAACACTTACGGTATTTATTTAATACCCTAATTTGAAAAAAACGTACTTTCGTAGGGCACAAACAGTTCGGTGTTATGGGAGTTCCAATGTTTTTTGGTCTTCAGGCTTGGTGATACAAAATCCGTTGAAATGACATGCAAGTGAAGCCTATGCAAGCTCGGCTCCGCATGGAATCCCACCTGGAAGTCCTCCCACCGAACTCCTTTTATCTCCACCGCGTTCTGGGCCAGGCGGTAAAGCTCCTGTAAAAGCGGTAAGTGGCTCCGGTCCAACTAAAGATCAAAATAAATTAATAGTATTCTATTATTGTAAGGTTTCCTCCCATTGCTTCTCACCTGAAAGATACTGGGAATATCGGCTAATGGCAGCACCAGGTAATGATGCATCGCCTTAGGAAACTTGTCCGATATAACAACGCCAAGTTTGGATGAAACTATTAAGTATTCCTGCTTTACCATGTCTCTTATTAATCCATTTTGCCAGGACATGTTACTCTTTTATTAATTTACTGTAAAAAAAAACTTTAATTGTTATGCGGTTAGTTCTGACAGCCAGTTTGGAACTTGGTCATGTCCGAGGCTTAAAATGCAAAAAATACACACTAAAACCAAAAACAAAAAGATTAACACAAATTTAGTTGGGCTATATATTTGGGACTGAAAAGTTGAAAAACCCTGAAAAAGATTAACACAAATCTAGTTGGGCTATATATTTGGGATAGAAAAGTTGAAAAACCCTACAACATATGGGACTTTGTAAGAGTGTTTTTCTTTATCGACCGCACTGAGAAGATTTTTGTGCTACTTTGTAGGGCGCTGAACTAGATTGAAATGAGCTAATTTTATAATATTTTTAATAAAAAAAACGTGGTTTTATGTGCCATATCTGTGATATCGCAGAGCAAATGAATTTAAGTTATCAAGATCACTAGAATTGTGTTTTGAAATATGTATTTATTTATTCATCAATAATTTTCAAATCTCGATCGGAATTGTTTAAAGCTTACATTTTATAGACAGTGATTAAATTCGAAATAATAATGTTCAGTTCCTTTAAAATGTTAGTTCTTTTCTTTTTTAGCTTGCATAGTTTTTAGGATAACAGAAATTTTTTAATTATAACTTATGGGTCACTGTAACAAATGTTTTTTAAGCTGATAACAGTTGCAATAGTTTTCTTATTAAAGTTAACAAATTATTGCCAATTTTTAATTTGGTCGGCTGATCTGCAGTTTTTTTTACGCATACGTATTTTTAACAAAACTATTGTAACCATTTATCATTGTTAAAATCTATTAAAAATAGTTTAAATACGATAAATGACTCTAAGAGCCAGCTGGTTTAAGATTGTTTGGAGGTTGAGTTCCAGAATTCGGATTGCCAGCAGATGTCTGTGGATTTGGTTGGTTTGCTGATTTTTTGTTCTTATTTTTGTTTTGTTGATTAGGATTTGGGCGATTCTGTTGATTAGGTTTCTGGCGATTTTGATGATTGGTGTTTTGATAATTCACTTGATTGGGAGGTTGGGATTGTTTAGGTTTTTGTGGAATGTTATTCAGTTGAGTTTGTTGATAGGAATTCTGCCGATTTTGTTGATTTGAAATTGGGCGATTCTGTTGATTCGGGTTCTGATTCGGTTGCTGAGGATTGGTGTTCTGCTGAAATTGTTGGTTCGGCTTCTGTTGGTTATTGTACAAGACACTTGTTGGAATCCATATCGGTCTAGGTCCATTTTGTTGATTACTTGGGCAGGCTAATTGTACGACAAATGCCTGATTTGGATATTGTAGTGGGTCCTGCTGATTCACTGGAGGCGGTGCTCGGAATCTATTAAATACAGGATGCCTGAGATTGTTCAGATGTTGATTAGGTGGAAAACGAGGACCATTCCAAGAACCCCCAGGTCCTTGATGTCGTATGGGTCCGCGCGGCATATAACCCGGTGGACGAGTGTTAAACTTATTCCCTGGCGGCGGATTCATCGATTGGATGTTGAGCGGAGGAGTGTTTCGGAAAGGATTGTTGAGATTCGGCTGATTCATCATATTAACTGGGGGTCCGTTTATATAGTTGCTATATCCATTATCGGCCTGCTGCTGAGCCTGCTGTTGTTGTGGCGTTTGGAAGGGATTTCTTGAGGTCTGATTTGGGAACTGGGTATTTTCAGCTAGTGGCTGAGTTTGCGGCAAAGACTCTGAAGGCGCAACTGGTTTTAGCTCCGTATCTAGCTTCGCCTCATTCATCATTTGAATTATTTTATCCGTTTTTTTCTTCTGCTCACGCTCGCATTCTCTACGCTGCCAGTGTTGATACAGGTGCGCCTTTAGCTCCAGCAGCAATTCGGTCACAAAATCGCACTGGTTGCAACGTAAGGGCTTTTGAAGCTGCAGCTCCTTGTACTTCTCATCGGAAATTGGTTCAATAGAGCCCTGCAGGCTGAGCATCATGTGCACCATTTGAAATGGCATAAAAAGTTCCGTATTGAAGCTATTCCAGTGGCGCGGACGTTTCATGGCCATGGAGTAAAAGTCGTCAGATATCACATGAAGATTGAGCCGGTTCCAGAAGGTGTGCACCTTAAAACCTATGCGAAAGTTACGCGACTCTAGGTGCTCCTGCTTCTCGATTATTTGATTGGCCAGCTCCATCATGTGATCCAACAAAGGCAAATGATCTCCGTTCAACTGTTGAGATCGAACCGTTAATGACGAAAACCAAAACATTCTGTTATAGACCAACCTTAGTTATGTCCCCCAATTCTTCCTTGGCCACCACACGAAAGTGATATTGCGACTTGGGAAAATCCGCTTTAATCACCACCGCCCGATCAGTTTCGATGAGGAAATTCCTCTTATCGTTAAGCTTGCGCTTCAACTCATCCCGAAAATACGCCTTCTCATCCACCTCCATTTTAATGGATTCGCCTCCTCAACAATCGTGGAAATCACCGAAAATTAATCAAAAAGTTCTGAGTCACCTGTCAAGAATCAGCCGGGAATGCTGGCAGCTTGGAACAGACTCTCAGCTGTCTATTCACGGTTCTCTAAGGGGAAGAACTGGTTCTCTAGTGGGTACTGGTGGTTCGTTTGCGAATAGTATCTGGGAGGTGCCCCACCAGATGATCCTTAAGTGTTGGCAAATTTTTTGCCACAAAATCGCACTGGTTACAATTCAGCGGCTTGGCCAGCAGTTCGTCTTTCAGTGATTTCGGCAGTCTCGAAATGTGGTTGTCCTTCTCTAGCTGTTCGTAAAGTTCTAAAAGAAATATGATTGACCCATTAGCGAAACAAATTTTTAAAATGCGGAAAAATAATACTAAAGAATATAACGATCAGATCAAATTTTGGGAAGTCTCATAAAAACAAAATCGATTAAAAAACTGATTTAAGGTACATTTCTAAATAATTATTTAAAAGCTTTTTGAAATAATATACATATTATAGAAAGCTAATTTTTATCCATTTTGAAGGTAAAAAATTTAAATAAGGGCGTTAATGTTAATCGAACACATATTTGTACGAATACAATCAATATTTGCATATTTATTGGCTAATAGTAATATTTTTAGTCCAACTAATCAGAATATCTACATAGTTAAAAATAAATCGATTAAATAAAGTAACAGTAACTTTAAGTTTGAGTTTACTTGTATTGTAATTTCGATTGCATTTAAAACAGGTTTAGTAATCATCTGCCTAAAAAACTAAGATCTAAATAATATTTCTAAAAAAAAATTTTTTTTATTGTTTTGGCAGCCTATGATAGCGCTTCAGCAATATAAAATGTGTTCAAGAAAGCGGAAAATCTTACTTTTGTAGGGCACAAATAAGTCAGTGTTGAAGGAGTTCCAATGTTTTTTGGTCTTTAGACTCGGTGATACGAAATCCTTTGATATTACATGCAAATGGAGCCTTTGCATACTCGGTTCCGCATGAAATCCCACCTGGAAATCCTCCCAGCGCACTCCTTTCACCTCTACAACGTTTCTGGCCAGAAGATGAAGCTCCTCCAAGAGCGAAAGATGGTTCCCATTCAACTGAAATTTCCGAATATGTATGTATATGTATTGTATAGGGGTTCTTAAGGAGATTAGTATTGTTTCTTACATGAAAGATGCTCGGAATATCGGCTAATGGAAGCACCAGGTAGTGATGCAGCGACTTGGGAAACTTGTCTGCTATAACAACGGCTAGTTCTGATGAAATAATCAAGTTTTCAGGTTTTAAAATTTCCTTGACTAATCCATTTTGCCAAGACATAACAAAAGTTGCGTTTTTTTGATTAAAGTTGCAGCAAATGGTTCTTTGAAAATTAAGTCTATTTTTCCCACAGTGCTTTTAAAATGTTGAGGCCTACTACAAAATTTCGCTTATTCGACGGCAGTAGATATAGTAAAACGCAAAATAAAAACAAATACGTAAACAGCTGGCGAACTAGTTATGGCTAGTGCTGGAAAACACGATAACCCGGCTAGTGATGAAAGTTTCTTAGCGGTGTTTTTGATTTGGAAGGCACTGATATATGTTGTTGGTGTTTTTAAAGGACTTTCAATTATTGTAACTATATAAAAGCTTTCAAACTGTCTGTTTCATTTACTTAATTTTTAGAATTCATTATTTCAATAAATACATCTTTTGTATTGTTCGCGATTTGTATTAATCAATGCTTTGATTTTTAATGTAAAATTTTGACGACTTTATCCTTAATAAATCTATAAAAAAGAATATAAAACGAATTTACGCAAAAACAAAACAAAATAAGCAAGGGTACAATGTTTTTATTTTCTATATTTGGTTAACGTCACCCACTGTAAAATCAACGATAGTTGTTGGTATTAGACCCCTTTCGCTGCTGTTTTTTGCCGATCCTGCTGCGGTCACACTGTTGTTTACCTCGACGCATGCCGAATAAATATAAAAGTGAAATTACGTGATAATTGTGCTAGAAAGGTGACTAAAATCGGTCCCACGATGGAAGCCATGCACGTTGTGGCGCCTCAGACACGCCCCCGTCTAATGGCGGAGCCGCTGCACATCCAGCGGTTGGAGGCGGCCCTCAACATGCGACCCTTCATGGACATGGCCAAAAGAGCCCTGCGGAAACCGCTGAGTAGCAACGAGGAAAGTGACGAGGAGCAGGTGGTCAGGAGGGATCAGGAAGCACTGGACTCGGATGACTCCTCCACCGTAGGCGTCGTCAGGATGAGGCAATCCAACAAGCGGAAGCATCGTCTACTCGGCAGCAAGGAGGGTGAGTTGGAATCCGAAGTATGGAAATACGAAATTCCGACTAAAGTTCCCTATTTCCAGAGCGACAAAGTGTTAAGGCGCAACTATACAACTTCAACGATCTAACCAGCGATCGGGAGTGGCTCTACGATCTCCTCTTAAGCGATACGGAAAGCGACGACCCCACCATCACTGAGGATGAGTATGTGAATCAGCTGCTAAAGGAGCATATCCGGGAGCAGCGCCAGCGGAAGAACTACTACAAAAAGGCCACAGTGAGTAGTGTAGAACCATGGATCAGTGGGTTTTCAATTCCATTTGAACCGATTTCAGAGTCAAATAGGCAGGATTGATTTTTTAATTTCTTGATTGGGAGTATTAGGCAAAACATGCTAAATCTTATTTCAAACAAACCTTAGCCAAGAAGAGTTAGTAAATATAAAAGTACATTGAATCCAAACTCTTTGTATAAATAATTAAAAAGTTCGACTTATAAATAGTTCAATTAACATTTTGGTCAAAAGTGTGCAACGCAGTGAAGGAGACATCTCCGACCCTATAAAGTATATATATTCTTGATCAGGATCACCTCCTGAGTTGATATAGCCATGTCCGTCTGTCCGTCTGTCTGTTTCTACGCAAACTAGTCTCTCAGTTTTAAAGATATCGAATTGAAACTTTGCACACACCCTTATTTCCTTTGCACGCAGTATATATGTCGGAACGGCCGGGATCGGCCGACTATATCCTATAGCTGCCATATAACTGATTGATCGGAAATGCCATAACTTTGGTGTTTGTAAAGTTAGGAAGCTGGGATTTCCTATGGGTTTTATATTTGGCCAATCAATTCGACCTACCAAATTTCATAGGGATCGGCCGACTATATCCTATAGCTGCCATATAACTGATTGATCGGAAATGCCATAACTTTGGTGTTTGCAAAGCTAGGAAGCTGGGATTTCCTTTGGGTTTCATATTTGACCAATCAATCCGACCTACCAAATTTCATAAGGATCGGCCGACTATATCCTTTAGCTGCCATATAACTGATTGATCGGAAATGTCATAACTTTGGTGTTTGTTAAGTTAGGAAGTTGGGATTTCCTATGGGTTTTATTTCTGGCCAATCAATCCGACCTATTAAATTTCATAAGGATCGGCCGAATATATCCTATAGCTGCCATATAACTAAACGATTGGAAATGCCATAAATTTTGTGTTTTTAAAGTTAGGAAATTGGGATTTTTTATGAGTATTAAGAATGCATCATATGAATAATTTTGGAGAATATAATTTACAGAGTATTCTGCAAGGGTATATCAACTTCGGCTCCGCCCGAAGTTAGCTTTCCTTTCTTGTTTTTTGTTTATTTCAATAGCCTATATAAAATAGTGAGTAGTAATTAAATAATAATTATTTAGTGTATTAAATGAGATTTTTAGCTGCCTTAGTTATGCAAATATTAAAAAGAACACCAAATCTTATAAGTTTATATAAAATACTTTTTTTTATTTAACTGAAAATTTTAAAGAAACTATTATTGTTTAACGAAAGTATTGAAAAGATTTTGTTATTCCTCTCCAGAATGCCCAATATGCATACTATAGCAGCGGCTTGCTTTCCAACCACGACATTTTCGCTGAGCGCCAACAGGCCACCGCAGGCGTGCGTAAGCGGCGTCGTCGCACTAAACAAGAAATCCTTATGGCCCGTTTGGCCGAAGCTCAATCTGGACCAAAACCACCCAAACAGCGAAGAAGGGGTCGCAAGAAGAGAGATATCATGGGATCACCGGAATCTGGGGAAGTACATCCGTCGGAGCTTGGCAAATACTCGTTTGGCGACACACTTCCCACAAACGATGACGACGACGAGGATGGTGGCGAGGTAGACTACAAAAGAGAACTGGCCAGCTTGGCTCTGGATTATCCGGAGGAAGAAGAGATAGAGGAGGAGGTGGATGTGGTGGGTGGCGTCGAGGGTCAAGTGACTAAAGTTCGACGAAAACGAAAGAACCCAGCTGCCCTGGCCGCTCGCCGACGTCGCATCTGGCAGATTATGTCCAAGAAGGAATCCGGCAGACTGCAACGCATCAAGAGTAATAATCACAAGGAGATGCTGGCCAATTGCAAGCGGGTGGCTGGAATGTGCGCTAAAGTGGTGCGCCAGCGTGCTATCAACTCCCAAAGGATCATGAAGGAAACGGTGTGGCGGGCCAAGCGACTCACCAGGGAGATGCTCGCCTATTGGAAACGGTACGAGCGCGTGGAGCGGGATCAGCGGCGTAAGCAAGAACGCGAGGCGGAGGAGCAGCGGAAACAGGACGTGGAGCTGATCGAAGTGAAGCGTCAGCAGCGAAAGCTCAACTTCCTGATAACCCAAACGGAGCTATATGCCCACTTTATGTCAAAGAAACTGGGACAGGGCAGTGAAGAGGATCAGTTGCGCATTCTCAGCCAGCTGGATGAGGAAACCAATGCCAGGTTGGCGGTTCAAGATGACTATGATCCAGGTGAGATGAAGCTGTTGGCGCAGGAGAATGCTGAAGCTGCCATGCAAAGGGATTTGGACAAAACCAGGGCATTTGATGTGTTTGTAAAGAAGGAGGAGAAAGAGGAGGAGGAACAGGAAGAGAAGGAGGATGTAAAACCCGAACCACGCCCTGAAATGAAGGACCTACCCCAACCCAAGATGTTCAAGGGAACCCTAAAAGGCTACCAAATCAAGGGCATGACTTGGCTAGCAAACATTTACGATCAAGGAATCAGCGGCATTTTGGCAGACGAAATGGGTTTGGGCAAGACTGTCCAATCTATAGCTTTTCTATGCCATGTCGCCGAGCACTATGGAGTGTGGGGACCCTTCTTGATAATCTCACCCGCATCCACGCTTCACAATTGGCAGCAGGAAATGTCCAGATTTGTGCCCGATTTTAAAGTAGTACCATATTGGGGTTCCCCTGGAGAGCGAAAGATCCTACGCCAATTTTGGGACCAGAAACACCTTCACACTCGCGATGCCAGCTTTCATGTGGTGATCACGTCCTACCAGCTGGTGGTCAGCGACTACAAGTATTTTAACCGCATTAAGTGGCAGTACATGGTGTTGGACGAGGCGCAGGCTATCAAGAGCGCGGCTTCGCAACGCTGGAAATTGCTACTGGGTTTTAGCTGTCGGAATCGATTGCTTCTCAGTGGCACACCCATCCAGAACAGCATGGCAGAGCTATGGGCCTTGCTGCATTTTATTATGCCGACATTGTTTGATTCCCATGACGAGTTTAACGAGTGGTTTTCCAAGGATATTGAATCCCATGCTGAAAATAAGACGGGCATTGATGAAAAACAAATCTCCAGACTACACATGATCCTTAAACCGTTTATGTTGCGCCGGATAAAGAAGGATGTTGAGAACGAGTTGTCGGATAAGATCGAAATCATGGTTTACTGTCCTCTTACCATTCGCCAGAAGTTGCTTTACAGGGCGCTTAAGCAAAAAATTCGAATTGAAGATCTCTTGCACCTGGCCAGTGGATCCACTACTACTTCGTCGTCCTCTTCGGCTTCAAATCTAATGAACCTGGTCATGCAGTTCCGCAAGGTGTGCAATCATCCTGAGCTCTTTGAACGGAGGGACGCTAAGAGTCCGTTCTTCATGCGTTGTGCGGAGTATACGATTCCCAGATTGGTTCACGAAGATGGACTTATCAACAGACTGCTGCCCAGTCGAAAGCATTTGCTCTATAACCGGTGGGTTGGTTTGTTTTAAACTATTTTACTTGTTCTAATATTTTTAATTTAATTCTTTCAGGTTTAATATTTTCAAATCGGAGTATATGCAAAAATCACTATTTGAGGATGTGAGCGTAAATAGTTGCTTTGGATTTACCCGCTTGTGCGATTTATCAGTGGGAGATATGGTGGATGTGACACTCAATGGACTGATTGCTTTGTAAGTATTTGGAATACCAAATATGTGTTCGGTATTTTTGTTACACGACGTTCGTTTTGACTGCCGTGAGGTTTTTGACACATTTATTAATGAAAAACCCTTCTCGTCCACAGTCTTTTGCATTATCGTAGAGTATTGGAGAAATACCCACTGCTAGGCTACCGCTGCTTCTGGTGGAAAAAACATCTTGCTAGTAGCTATCAACTATTGGAGCCTATGCTAGAAAACAAATTGGTGCTGGACTACATGCCTTCGGACAGTGTACTTAAGAACTTCATTTTTACGGCTATGGTATAATAAATTAACATTTTTAATTTCGTTCACCGATATATAAAATTTTACTCTTTACAGACTACGAATGAGAGCAGCGTTTACGCATTTGGCGACTACTTTACATACAACATGCAGGAGACCATCGAACATCGTGTTATTCGCTCCAAGATACTCAAGGAAAAGACCTCCCTGATCGAGGAGATGGCAGATGAGTCTAAGCAGGGGCTGGAGATGGAGTCTGTGGAAGTGCAAACCAAATCAAATGCCAAGAACGATGTAAAGGTGACCACACTTATGCTGCTACCCGAGTTTCCGCATCGACCTCGAAAACCCAGAAGCTACCAATGCGAACCGCTCTCTATGCCACGCCTTCTTTATGATTTAGGCCAGAAAGTTCAGGCTGTGGATAGAAATTTATAGTGAGTTTCTGATTAGGTTTTTATTTCGATTTAATTTTGATTTTCCACTCCCAAACTACATTTTAGCTGTGACAGTCGCACTGCCGCCTGGACGCAGATTCGTCACGAGCAGTGCGAGAACAGCCAGGGCAGGGAGCTCGTTTCGAGCGGATTGACCCTTTGCAAACCTCGAAGAGGATGGTCCTCGATCGTGGTGCCTGACAAGGAGACGCTAATCACCGACGCAGGCAAACTATTTGTTCTAGACACCCTGCTTACTCGACTTAAGGCGAATGGCCATCGAGTGCTCATCTACTCGCAGATGACAAAAATGATTGACCTTCTGGAGGTGAGTTTACTTGACAATATATCAGTATGTATCCATAAATAAATTTCGTATTTTCTTCAGGAGTACATGTGGCACCGCAAGCATCGTTATATGAGATTGGATGGATCAAGCAAGATCTCCGCTCGTCGCGACATGGTTGCCGACTTCCAAACCCGAGCCGATATTTTTGTATTTCTGCTGTCTACAAGAGCTGGAGGTTTGGGTATTAATTTAACAGCCGCTGATACGGTAAGTTCATATATTAAATTTTCGCTATTAAATAATTGTTTGTTTACCAAATAACATTCTTTTGCCGAAGCTATAAGAAACTACGCGATTCGGGCGATTAGGAGTTAGTTCCCCAAGTTCTTTATGAATTGTTGGCTTGCGGTGTGAAAGAGAGATTTGGTTTCTTTTGCAATTCGGCTGAAAGATGATTTAGAAACATAGTTTTGATTCGAAAATCTTTCAATCGTTTTCTCTCCGAAAATTTATTCACACATTTAAATGAAAAGGATCACCCTGGTCCATTCCATTTAAAATAATTTTTCTGTGGTCCAAATTTTAAGTTTTTTTTAAAATGTCTCACAATCGAGGTCAAGACCCCATGGACAGGTCGATAGTCAAGAAACTTCCCCTGCTAAAGTCTAGCATTAATCCCTACCGACCAAAGCCAATGTTAACGCGCAGCAATTCCCCACAACTCGAGAACGACAAGCGCAATGGACTGGACGTGCAGCTGCCAGAGGAGACAGATCCAATAATTGCAAAGCGAGTGCGATGGGCTCCAATCTATGGAAACAGGAGCTCGAGTAAGACCTCCACTTACATCACTTCTATGAGCAACAAACAAATCCGATTCGATCAGGATACTCCAGATGAGGATAGAATGGCCAACGAACTCCGATTAGCCGTACATCGCGGTGGTGGTTCCATTGATCCCGAGAAGAATTACGAGCTGCGCGCTCGACTGTCGCCCCTGCAGCTGCCCTACAGTCGTGTCCAGCGGATTCTTAAGGAGTGCGAGTTGAATGAGAGGAATAATAACACCTTCAGTCTGCCCATGGACTTCGGTCGCCAACTGGTTGCCATGGTTTGCAAGGTCAGGACGGATAATCTCAGCGATCTGAAGATGCGTCTGGCACCCTTGCTGAGGCAAAGCAAGGCGCGCTTCTTCAATCGACATTTATTTTACGAAACTGGTTTGATTGAGGCTACTCTGCCCAGCAAATCACCATTAAGTTTTGAGGATCTTAATCAAACATTAAGAACAGATTCAGTGTGGTGCAAGGTCACCGAAAGCGCCATCATCGATCTAGAAAAGTGCGCCGTTTTGTTTAAGTGTCGGCCGCAGGAGCTGCGAGAGGTTACTGAAAAATTACGGCAGTGCAGCTATAAAATTATGCACACCGAAGTGGGACAGTGCCCAAAAAAACCTCTGGTGGATTTAACTGAGCGGCAAATGAAGCGTTACAAGGAATTTCGCAAAAAAATTCTACAGGACGAAGACGTTGTAAAAATCTATGACAATGTGCGTGCCCTGTAGTTCATATAATCATATTTATTGAAAATGCCATGGGGTCGCTAAAAATTAATAAAAGTAAAAGCCAAATTTTTGGTGAACTTTTAAAAGATGTTTTGGTTCGTTATGATGTCGTGAATAAAAATTTTATGGATCTGAAGCATTATTTGTCATTTGATTAAATATTGTTCTTTTTTTTTTGTGTAGTAGAGAAGTTTAATTATATCAGTAGATTGTTTCAATACTATAAAGAATCTAATTACAATGATAGCTTTCAAAAGCCTAGCCGATATAAGAGGGTGAAATTATAATTGACTTTGTCTGGAGTAGGTACTTCATTTTAAGATTAGGTAAAACTGAAAAACAAAACTTAAAATATTTTAGTTCTTATATACTAAATAGGGTGTTCAGTGACATGCAGGATTTATAAGTAGCTTATATATTATAACTTTTTGAATAGTAATATTAATTTAATAATTTTAAAGAAGGAGCTTAGATAATCTCTAAGTTCTCATACGGAACAAAAAATATTTGCCTTGGGCTTGATGATTTATAGACAACTTTTGGATAATAATTTACACGCCATTATAAAAGAGAATTCCTTTGTGATTGCCTCGAACTTGGAGGCGGAAAAACCCTGTGTGGCTCTTGTATCCATTTGCTAAACTACTTGTTCATGCATTGCGGCAGTCAAGGTTGAATTTCGAGCCAGGGGTGGTGAAGTGTTGCGATGCGGATGGGGATGACTTGGGAGTGAGTGGCGGCAGACCATGATTTACTCGTGTGATCTTTATCGCCGCGTAACAATGAGACCTACCAATCCGAGCCCACGACCACGTAGAAGAATTCTCAGCCGAAAAGGATACAATATCGAACAGAATCTTTGCATGTTTCTCCCCTCGCACTTCTTGTTCGATCTCAGCGGTTCTGTTCGATCTTTTCTTTGGCTGTGGGCTCTGACTTCTGGTGCTTCGTGTGAACATTTTCGCCCGGTTCCTAAATCATTTTGTCACCGGTTTTGATTTGTTATTTGCGCACCCTGACCAAAAGTAATTTGGTTTCAGCTCCTACTGTTCTCTCATTTTATTGCCAGGTTCTCAGGCTCAGTTTTTTTGCCGGATCGGTTTTCCCTCCCCACTTCCTCAAGTTTATGTCTTGAGTTGACTAATTCGGTGTTGGTATTTTAGCTTGCTGATTGTTCGCCATCAGCGAATCTTTGAAGCCTGCTTCAAAGACCTTTTTATAACATATCGTGGGATGGGGATGACTCAGAGTGAGTCAGATTTATTCTTCCTGCAAATTGTAACTTTTTGAATAAATTAAATACTTTATTAAAACCACTTTTACTGAAAAAAAGGATAACTTCAAAAGCGTATCTCCTTTTTTTCGTTAGCTTTTATAAATAAAAGAAAGAATTTTACAACTTCCTTCCAATCGGCAAAAAATAAATATTTCAAACATCAACCAATTTCCACAAGATCTTAAATTATGGCAGGAATTTTTATTTCTTTTTCGATATAATTTCTCAAACACCATCAAAAAGTTGCTCCCCTCAATCTTCTCATTTCTTTGAGAACCTTCAAGAAGAACAAAAGTATTTCCCGTTCATGTCTTTGCCGCATACCAATATAATTTGACCGAAAACTCAACACTTTGGCATTTCTTTTGCCTTTCAGTCTCCCTTCTCTCCCTATCTTCAACAAAGCCCCAAATGCTTAAAAAAATTTTGAACGGGAAAATAAAACTATACCAGTTACACTTTAAATGATACAAGACACACGATTTAATTGTATTTAATGCTATTTATAAGCAAATTGTGTTGTTGAAAACAAGTTCGCTTGGGAGTTGTTTAATGGATCCGTTTGGTCATTATAATGCGTGACTCGATTCGGTTTCGGAGCTCAAGATTTATGACATTTTCTAAAGCAATGCAAAGTCTTTAAGTAGCCGGCAGTCCATCGATCTTTATATGCCTAGCACGTTTCTGGATTTAGTGCAATTCATTGGGTGTAGGAAACCGCTCTTCCTCCGCATACCACCTTTCCTGACTTTTCGGTACTGTCTATGTCCGTGATGGACTGCCGCAGTGGTCACACCTTTTCAAACATTTTGATGGATTTGTGGGCTTCATAAATTTGCAGTTTTTATTGCATCATATTTGCAAATCTTCTAAGCTTGAAAAAAAAAGGGGTATTCACAAACAGAAAGCTTTAGGTCTGAATGTTCCTTGTTTGTCCCTTCATAATTTCTTAAATTTTGGGATCTAAACAATCTATAAAAAACTCGTGACAATCAATATGTTAGTGATTAACCCACTCGATCTATTTGTTAATTGTGCAAAGGACAAGTGGCTGCTTCAGTTGAGTGCTCAGTTATAAGGTTACTTATACGTTTAATTTAACTCAACAAGTCGTTTATATTTTTTTTGCAGAATTTATTATAAATTTAAAAAAATTGTTTTAATGTGTGTAATCTTGTTGTTGTCTTTAATATAAACATTTACTAATTATTGTTGTTTGTACCCCTGTGTAATAAATGAAATTAAGAGCTCCATAAATTTATATGTTAAATATTCGGTTTATTAGAACCAAAAAATAGTGATTAAATAATTATACATAAAATACAAAATTTAAGATAAATTCATAGATTGAGATATTAGTCCTCCAGCCATTTGGCCACGAGTTTGATCAGCTTCTGCTTGGAGGCCACCAGTTCGGCACTATCGGTGGCACTGATCGATCCAGTATCGGGGCAGTGGGAGGCCAATGGAATAATGGTGGCGCCCTGAGCGATTCCAGCACCCACCTTGCTCCAACCATCCAAGGCACCCTGCACGAAGTAAATATTGGTGGCGTTGACGTCTAGGCCACCGAACTCCTTGTTGGTTGCCCGGATTTTAGTGTGGATACCAGCCGAGTCGTACTCCGAGCCAAATACTCCCTCGCAGGTGTCCTCATAAAGAGCAGCCGGGAAAGTGGATCCAAATGGTTGGCTTCTGCTGCCCGAAGATTGGAACCATCCGAACTCGTTGCAGGTCTGGAAAATCCAGGGCAAGTCGCCTAAAGAGGGTGGAAAAAGTCGTTTAAAAAATGGTTTCAAATGAGAATGATTTAGATGTTAAAACTTAACACTTACTGTCTTCGTAGTTCTCCTTGGACCATTCGTAGTAGTCTACAGCTCCATTGAAGGTAGTGCTCAGACAAGCGCCAGAGTGCTCATTAATTTTCCAGTTGATGAACTTCGACAAAGCAACAGAATCATCGTCACTGAACTCTCGCAAAATAGAGCAATATTTTGGAATGTCATAGTTCTCCGGCCTAGGGGAAAAAATTAAATTATCACTAAATTCTGTATGGTTGTTCAATGCCACCTACTTTTGGTACTGAGCAATGCCGGCGAAAATGTTAGCAATGGTGCTGAAGATCTGCCAGCGGTCCTTCTCGCTGTTAGGATTAAAGTTTGAGCACAGATTCAGTTCCTTCGCGGCCTGTGAGCCATTTCCAATGTCGAAAAGATTCTCATAGTAAGCAGTGGCGTTGTCAATCAAATCGTAACAATAATCTCCACCTAGGGTTGCATACGACTCGCCAACAACCTTCATGTAGTCCTTAAAGTCCACCTTGGCAAGGATCGGGGCAGATGAGGCCCAGCTACCCCTGATGATTTCGGGATAAAGCTTCCTGATCCAGGTGGCCATGGTGGCCGAGTAGGAGCAGCCAGAGACCACCACCTTTGAGTCCTTGTACTTGTCCTCTTCCTTCAGAGTTTTAATAACGTTGATAACATCAGCCAAAGCTTGCTCTACGCTTTGGTACTTTTCCAGGTTCTCAGTGGACAGAGGACTAAAATGTAAGACGGTGTTCCACTTCATAACTTATTTTCAAATAAACCTGGTTACAACTCACGTTATTGGGATACTCTTGCCAAAGAAACGATGCTCAGTGTAAAGGAGGGAACCATTGTGTTTCTTGGCAATGTCTTTCCAGAGTCCTGAGGTGATGCCACTGGGATCGATCGCCCACTCGCCGCCCAAGTATATAAAGATGGGAGAGCCATCTTTAAAATACTTATTGTTTATATAGATGAGCTGAGGTTTGAAAACGAGATAGTTATAGTTGGTTAACACTCGATTTTCAGCACGTCCTTACATCCTGCCAGGTGGCATTGTTGCTATCATCGAAGTTGTCCAGCTTTTGGGTGATCCAACGCTCCTCCACTTTGGCCCTGGTCTTCTGTGGTTCAACTGGAGGTCCTCGATGCAATTCCCTTAAGGATTTGACGAAGGCGTTGGGCTCCGGCTTTTGTTCACCCAGACTAGCTGCTGCAGTCAGGGGTGCCAATAGGGCTAGTACTACTAGGGTATACTTCATATTGCTGGTTAGTTCACAAGTTAGCGAATGATTTTCCATCGTCTGCGGCAAACTATTTATTGGAAAATATTCTCTACCGGCCTTAGATAGGGTCTTTGGGCACTTAATTGCAAAGCAAACAAATATCGGAAAATATATAGCACTGATAAAGTCGAGGGTTCTTTGTCTGTATTACCCCTTGCATCACATAATTTGAGCTAGGTTCATTAGAATGCCTTTAGTCATAGGGAAGACAAAGAACTTGTACAAGTCTTGATAAGATCTGAAGTGATAAGTTTAAATAAGGTTTTTGTAATGTTTATATTATTTATAAATAGGTTTATATTAAAAAGGTTATAAAACGTCTTGGTCCCATTTTTCAATGTCATGTTAAGGTTATTGTTTGTAATTATTCACTATTATTCACTTCTACTTTACAGAGTTTATGCAAATGAGAAATCGAATGTGTCCGAAACAACAACTAAAATTAATGTCGAAACTTAACAGGACATTAAGAAATCGACCCTAGGACTACTTATATCAATTTATTATCACTGAGATTTCTTTAAAACAACAATTAATCTGGGACTTCTTATACTTATAACAATTTATTATCACTGAGATATCCTTAAAACAACAATTAATCTTAAAGAACTGCAATAATTGCTTAACTTTTGCTAAAGCATTAAAGATAGACATTTAAAAAAATAATCTAGTTTAAATTCCATTTTATTTTTTATTTTATAGGTTGTTAAGATATTTTTAGATTCTTTATTATGGGCATCACAATACCAAGTTGTTGGATTGCCCACACGTTCCTCCACACTTGTTAAATTAATCCCATGTGAACAAACTTGACATTTTTATTGACCATTGTCTTGTTACCAAATGTTTACTTTTTCACGTTCCTTGGTCAATAAGCCGGGTTCTTATCATGATGTAAGAAAAATAGTATACATTCTCTATCATTTGTCCTATCAAGTAAAATAGAGCAAAAAACTCAACTAAATTAGGTTCTCTCTTATTAGTCTTGTCAAGTACAGTAAACATTCAATAACAATATTTTCTCTTTAGAGAAAATATGATCTGCAGAACCGCATTAATAAAACAAGAATGAAAAGCTAACTTCGGGCGGAGCCGAAGTTGATATACCCTTGCAGAATACTCTGTAAATTATATTCTCCAAAATTATTTTTATGATGAAATTCCTAATACTCATAAAAAATCCCAACTTCCTAACTTTAAAAACACCAAAGTTATAGCATTTCCAATCGTTCAGTTATATGGCAGCTATAAGATATAGTCGGCCGATCCTTATGAACTTTAGTAGGTCGGATTGATTGGCCAAAAATTAAACCCATAGAAAATCCCAACTTCCTAACTTAACAAACACCAAAGTTATGGCATTTCAGATCAATAAGTTATATGGCGGCTATAGGATATAGTCGGCCGATCCTTATAAAATTTGGTAGGTCGGATTGATTGGCCAAATATAAAACCCATACAAAATTCCAACTTCCTAACTTTACAAACACCAAAGTTATGGCATTTCCGATCAATCAGTTATATGGCAGCTATAGGATATAGTCGGCCGATCCCGGCCGTTCCGACATATATACTGCGTGCAAAGGAAAGAAGGCTGTGTGCAAAGAGACTAGTTTGCGTAGAAACAGACAGACAGACGGACATGGCTATATCAACTCAGGAGGTGATCCTGATCAAGAATATATATACTTTATAGGGTCGGAGATGTCTCCTTCACTGCGTTGCACACTTTTGACCAAAATAATAATACCCTCTGCAAGGGTATAATGACGGTTTTAAATATATAGTGTGAAAAATATAAAAGATATATTTGTATATATTTTGATACATAGTGATTGCTTGCAAAATCATTGTGTCAAACATATTTGATCTTTACTTAAATGTGTTTTAATGGTTTTTCGTGCAGAAAATATTGCTTGCGGCGTTTCCTTTCCTTTGAATTTCCATTTCTTCACTTTTTTTCGTGGTATACTTTTCGGCGACAAGTAATTTTTATGAAAAGCTATTATTCTTAGTCCCAATATAAAGTACTATTAAGTTCTATTATTTGGTACTAATGAACACATGTTGTTATGTATTGGGAGTAACACTCAACAACATTATGATAATTCTTAAATGTTATTTAGTGTTATGCAATCAAAAGATTCATTAAATATCCTGATAAATTTAAAGACTCGAATTTAACTTAAATATTATTATCAAATAACAAAAAAATACATATTTTTAAATATTTATTTTTAATGTTTAGTGGAAGAAGTATTTTTAAAAACTGAAGCAGTTAAATGTGTTTTAGATTATTTATTTAAACCAGCTTTATCTGATATCATAAAATATTCACTAAAAAATTACTCACAGAAAAAGACTTTTTATTTGATACTATTTCTTTTACTCTTTTATTACATAAAATAATATCAAATGACCAATATTGGTCATGAAATTTAAGCCAACCACTGGCGCACCAGATCAGCGAGTTTTTCCTTGGAGGCCCGCATTTCGGCGGAGTCAGAGGACGAGATCGACCCAAAGTCGGCACAATGCGAGGCATTGGCGATGAGGGTCGCTCCTTGAGCTACTCCATGGCCCATGGGATTCCATGGATCCAGGGCACCGTGGGTCATATAGACATTCTCCACTCCGGGCTCCATGCCTCCGAAGTATTCGTTGGTCTGGGCTGCATTGTTGTTGATCTGCTCATTTCCATATTGCGAACTGAAGACATCTCCGCAAAGGTTCGTGTAAAGGGTGGCGGGGAATTTGGTGCCGAAGGGTTGGTTCCTGGAGCCAGAGCTTTGGTACCAGCCATACTCATTGCAGGTCTGATAGTACCAAGGACGACCTGTAAGCAAGGATAATAAGCTATGGCTATACTTTTAGGATCACAAAACTCGACATATACCAGCATCGAAGTTTTCCACTCCCCATAAATAGTACTCAACAGTGCTGGCGTAGGTGGCATCGATGCAAATGGGCATTCCAAAGCCCCAGTACACAAAGTTAGCAATAGCCGTAGCATCATCTCGGAAGCTCAACAGATAGTCGCAGTAGTACTCAATATCGCCGGCTCTGTAAAATTTGTAATTGTAAACCATTCAGACACATGTACAATGGCCTTACTATCCTTACCTTTGGTATTGCGCCACGCCAGAAAATATGTTCGAGATACTTCCGAACAGGGACCACAAGTCCAGATCGTTTTGGTCATCGAAACTATTGCACAGGCGCAACATGGCCCTAGCTTCAGCTCCTCGCTTATTGGCAAACAGAGACTCCAACTCGGCGATGCCGTTCTCAATCCTATCGTAGCACTTCTGGCCGCCCAACTGAAGGAAGGCCTGGCCGACCACCTCCTTGTACTCGGTGAAGTCAACCTTGGCCAAAAGAGGAGCACTGGAGGCCCAGCCACCAACGACCAAGTCGGGATACAGACGCTTGAACCATACCACCATGGTGGCCGAGTAAGAACCGCCAGCCAGCAGGACCTTGGAGTTGGCCAATTGGGCATTCTCCGCCTTTAAGGTCTCAATGCATTTGACAACATCGGCCAAGGCCTGCTTTACATCCAAATACTTGAGGTTGGCAGTGGACATGGTTCTAAAAAAATGTATGATTAATTTAATAAAAGGCAAAGGATTAATAAAAACTTACGAAGTGGGAATGCTTTGACCGTAGTAGCGATGTTCGGTGTAGACGAGAACACCCTTGTGCTCCGCGGCCATATCATACCAATGCCCAGCGCTGATCATACTTTGCTCGATCTCCCATTCGCCACCCAGGTAAATGAAAATGGGACTTCCCTCAGCTTGGAACTCATCATTGATTAAATATCGCTGAAAAAGTACACGTTGAAGAGCCTCTGTTATTGTGTGTGTTAAAAAATGTAATTCGCAAAACTCAGACGTGCTTTAAAAAGTTGCGTAATTTTTGTTTCAAAAAAATAACTTTTTTTTTCGATTTTACCTACCATTTGATAGGTCGCAGTGTTGGACTCGTCAAAGTTGTCCAGTTTCTGGGTGATCCATTTTTCCTGGACATTGACACGCTTAGTCATCACCTGCTGCGGCGGGCCACGGCTTAAATTCTTAAGAGTCTTGACCAAAACAGGCACATCCTTAACCTTGGGAATGTCCAGGGCTTGGACTAGTCCTAAAATCAAGACTACAGCAAGGCAGACCAAACGTAGAGAAGCCATTTCCACAAATGAACCAACTATCCGGTCCGATTTAGGCTTTTAAGTTAACCGTCAACGGTGTCGCGTTCTAAAGTAATTTGCGGCCACGATAAGGATTGTAAATTTCACATATTTGATAAGTGACCAGCGACATGATATGATAGCCTCCAACTTTGCGATTATACGTTCACATGTGCAGTCCTTCATAAATCGATCGGAACTTATGTGAATCTTTTGTGGGATTATATAGAAATTCCCATTTATTGTCGGCCAATCAAAATCACAGCTGTGACAAGATTACTTAATCAGTCAGATTTTGTCAAACCATGTCATTGCTTAGTAATCGTGCTTGAAGTAATCTTTTAAGAATCAGTTTTATGAAATATTTTATCCGATTTTATATTTACTTTTTTTGTCAGCTCTAATTTTATTAATCTGATGTTTTTTTATTTTTAAAAAACTTTCGTAATTAACAATTTGCATTATTTCAATTCATTCATCAAGCGGTTTTCACAGTTTTTTTGTAATCTTATCTTAGGTTGATTAGATTCAATTGATAAAATATGTTTTTTGCATTAATTATTCTTTATTCCACTTTATTTCTAATTGGGTTTTCCATTAATAGTGACGGTATCTACGATTATTTAACCCACTCGCGAACCAGTTCAGCAATGCGTTCCTTCGAAGCTTTCATCTCAGCAGAGTCTCTAGAGCTGATCGAACTTAAGTCCTTGCAGTGGGCATACTCTGCAAGATCATAATGAAAAATATTAGCTTATATTTGTTCTTGTAGTGATCGGATTAATTTACCTGGAATGATCGTGGCCTGAGTCGCGTTTTGAATTCCCATTGCCCTCCAGGGATCCAATTGACCGTGGGTGAGGTAGACATTTTCTACACCCGGAGACAATCCACCAAAGTATTGGTTGGTGACACTCACTTGGTTGGAAATGAACTCGTTGGTATATTGGGAGCCATAAATATCGCCACACATGGTGGTATAGTATGTGGCCGGGAACTTGGAGCCAAAGGGTTGAGCATTAGAGCCCGAGGTTTGATACCAACCATACTCGTTGCATGTCTGGAATATCCACTGACGCACTGTAAAATAATTTGTTAGGTTGTGCTTTCAGTTCAATTTATTATAAACTTACTAATATTGCCATTGTAAGTGGTGTCTAGAAGCACTCCAATTATAGCATCATAGCTAAGATCGAAGCATTTTCCACCGCTCTCCTCGAAAACATCCAACAAATAGCCAGCCACACCATTCAGATCATTTGATCCAGCCAATATCTTCTGGCAAACGCCCTCGATTTGACCAGAACTAAAAGTAGGAACAAATTTGGGCATTTGATACAGTCGATACTATATTACTCACTTATGGGTCTGCACTACGCCTGCAAAGATATCGGAAATCTCGCTGAACAAGGTCCATACATCTAGATCGCTATAGACATCGAAGGGTTCGCAGAGCTTGAGCAGGGCTTTGACCTCAGCGCCTCTTTTGGTGGCTATCATGGACTCCATCTCGGCAATGCCATTCTCGATTCGCTTATAGCAAGCGGTGCCCCCCATCTGTTCGATGGATTGGCCAGTGACTTCCTTGTACTCTGCAGATAATATATTTTAATATCTTCTTTAAAAAGAGATCAAAGTTCTACTTACCCACAAAGTTCAGCTTGGCAAATAGCGGAGCACTCGAGGCCCAACCTCCAGCCACCAGATCGGGATAGAGCCTCTTGAACCAAGTGACCATTGTGGCGGAGTAGGAACCCCCCACAATAACGACCTTGGACTCGGACAAACCCTCATAGTTTTCTTTTATGGTATTGATGAAATGAGCCAAATCAGCCAAGGACTGATTCACACTCAGATACTTAATATTTTCATTGGAAAGATCTCTATAAGAAGATTTTGCTTAAGATATTCTCAATTATTTTGAAGAATTACTCACGGCAGGGGCTTGCTCTGTCCATAGAAGCGGTGCTCAGTGTAGGCCAGAAGAGCATTGTGCTCCTTGGCCATGTCGTAAAGGTGGCCGCCAGTTATGGATCCCGAAGAGATAGCCCATTCTCCTCCAAGATAAATAAACAAAGGTGCGCCAGACTTATAAAGTGCATCATTGAGCATATAACGCTGAAGTGTAAATTAACAAACGAAAAATATTTTTTTCTAATGTTGCATTGTAAAGATTCAACCATATATACCATTTGCCAGGTGCGTGTTTCTGACGGGTCGAAATGATCCAATTCCTGTTCGATCCAGAGGGTCTGCACTACATCCGCTCGGTTCTGATTAGACGGCAGTGGGGGCTCCTCATGGATCCGCTTGAAGGTCCTTTGAAATATACTTCCATTGGCTTGGGCCACGGCCAAAAGAGCCAAGGAAACTCCGAACCAAAACTTCATCGTCGATCGTTGAGTGTTGGAATGGGACTGAATAGCATTGAGCAACTTATGTACCAACTAAATTATTTGCTTTACCCAAAGCCAAATCTTATCGCAGGCGTAGTGCTTAATTAGCGGTTTTTAAGCCAGTAAATAATATTGTCAACTGGGTTAAATAGATTGTTGGTATTTAGCGTAGTTTTTTATTAGCCTGAAAGCCATGCGGCGTCTTATCGAGTGGTATTGTGGTCGCGACAACTGTTTCGATTATCAATCATTGGGTTTCACTCACTCAATTTGAGGGTACTTGAAATGTTGGTAATAGAGTTACCCGATAAGGGTTATACAAGGTGTAGTAGAATTACTAACTATTGCTTGATTATACCCTTTCAAATATAACTTTATTATACTGAAGAAAACGGTTCAAAAACAATGACTAATTAAAATAATTATTAATAAATAAAAAATCACTATTTCTTTAAATTTACGTACATAATAAAAAAAGATATAACAAAATATATTGATAATTTAATTTAGTTGCCTTTCATGTTGTAATTTTTGAACTTCATGATCAATGTGCGTCTTTAAGGCTTTTATAGATGGCTTGTCATTTTCTGTTGAGGCCAGTAGATCTTCGCAGTGAGTTGCTCCTTAAGTTTTTTGAATATATTATATATTTATTTAACAGTAAAATAAAGTTCACTACACCTTTTAAAATATAAGTCCAGTTGTGTTTTCTGACTTTAGTAACTGACCAAGCATCCAGTTCCGGTTGGGTTAAAAAGACTCTGCGAAAACTTTCTCTGTTTTGCAAATCCTCAAAATTTCGATCGGTGTCTTTCACTTTTCTGTCTATATAACAGTAGGAAAACTTATGTCCAAAAGCATCTAGACACATATCAAGCCAAAAATCTATAGGAATATATTCAGAGGTTTGAAAGTTTCCAAGCTGGTTACAACATTGGTACAACCAAAGACGGGCTGAAGTATCAAATCTTTAATAAAAAAAGTTAAATATGATATAAAAACTCTGCCTACCTGAATCCGTGGTATATCGAACGTCACGTAAAGATTTTAAACTGGAAATAGAGTCGTAGCATTTCGTTGATACCCCATTTAATTGCTTTTTTAGGTATAGGCTAAGCGAGGTTTTCGAAATTTCTTCACAAGCTTTTAGAATACCAATTTTACTGTAAGAAAAATGCAATTTTTATTTTTTTTCCTCAATTACTATCTGTTAAATAACTTACTTTCCATATTGCACTAGAGTGCCAACGACTTTTGTTAATCTTTCAAACAAATTAAAAACTTTCTCATCTTTTGTATGGTCAAATCCGCAAATATTCATTTCTATAAGTTTTGTAGTGTTATGTTTATTTAAGTCAGCCTTGAGTGCTTTAAAACCATGTACGATCGTATTATGGCACTTCTTACCTCCAATTTTCAAGAGCAGCTTAAAAACTTTTGAATAGAATCCCCTTAATTCAGTTTTGAACTGAAACGGGGCACTGGAACCCCAGCCTAAATCAATCAAGTTGGGATAGAGTTTGGCAAACCAGGGGACCATAAAACCTGAGTACGATCCTCCCACCAAAAATACCTTCGACTCACCGAAATAAGTTGTATTTTCTTTTAAAAATCGAATTAAAACAGCCACATCCGCCATGGCCTGGGGAACTGTAAGATATTTAAGGGATTTCACGTCGAGGGATCTAGAAACAAAAATGTTGAAATTTAAATTGATGACTATAAATTTTTAACATTTTAGAACATACTTTGTCGCTTTACTTTCTCCATAGTACCGATGTTCGCTGTGTATCAGATATCCTCCATAACGTTGAGCCAATTCGTTAATATAACTCTTGGTCAACATAATATTTGAAACATTGGTCGTAGGTGATAATATTGTTCCTTCACCTCCCATAAAGAAAAATATTGTACCATTTGGCTTAAAATAATCTTCCTTTACCATATATCTCTAAAATAGTAATATTGTAGTTCGTTGAATGATTAATTAATGTGCATTTACCATTTTAAAAGTTCGTGAATCCTCATGAAAATGATCCAATTTCTGCTCAATCCATCGGAATTCAATGGGATTCCCGCCGCAATGAAATCCAATAAAAAATGTACTTAAATAAAACAAAACTAATTTGCTGATATACATTGCTACAACTACTGGGAATTGTTATTACCTCTTATTAGCTTTTATAAAGTTTAGCTGGCCGTTTTAAATAGCAGTTAATTGCTTTGATTTTTCATGGAGAAAATATAAATGTTTTAATAGCTGCAACTAATCATAATTTTTTAAGTAGGGTGAAGAAAAGCAGTGCATTTTTGAATATAGTCACATAAATATACATAACATAAAAGAAATAAATTAAAAGTGAAAAAATATCGAATTTCAAATGTATGTATTTCCGAATCGCAATATTATGCAAAATAGTTAACCGCCTCTACTTCCAGAATTCGTTCAATTGAGCACTTCCCGGGGAATATTTTCAATTGAATATTTATTATATTTTAAAGACAGATTCCTGAATGGGATACTTCCTTCTTACACTTCTTTAGAACACGTGTTCCAAATATAAAAAAAACATCAATCGAGCAGTTCGATTTTAATTAGTCCCATCTTTCAGCCGGAAACGCCACTCCCTCAAGACAGCCCTTGAGAATCCGACGGGGAATTACTGAACACTTGCACACCAAACACGTACCAAGTGCGGCTCAAGAGGGGCAACGAAGGGTTAACACCGGTGGCGGGAATTTTCCTACTCCAGATAATAGACAGGAAAAGCGAAAAATTCGTGACACTACAAAGTGGTTTATAGAGTAGCCGAATTCGAGGAAGGAACTAATAAATATGCAGGCTCAAAATCATCAAAAGAAGGATGTGCGTGAGCAGCAACTATTTGCATACTAATTTCCGTCGGAAAATTCTCTTAGAAAATAAGTTTAATTCATAACCTGAATTCAATTTTTATTTTTATTTATATTTACATATTACGTTAAAAAAAGGATAAAGGATAAAAAAAGGATATCTAACCAACTACCAAATTCCACTTTCAGGTCATCTTTTACGATTCGGACTGGAATCCCACTGTCGATCAACAGGCCATGGATCGGGCCCATCGTTTGGGCCAAACCAAACAGGTGACTGTCTACCGACTCATCTGCAAAGGAACCATCGAGGAGAGGATTCTGCAAAGGGCCCGAGAAAAAAGCGAGGTGAGTGATCGGTGGGACAGGAAACCCTATCAAACCGCAAACTCCTCAAGTTGCTCGGTTTTCCTTTTGTTCAGTCGCATATTAGGCACGTGCTTTGTTGGGAAAAAAAACCCTCTTAAAAACCAAGGCATTGTTGCGTCTTTGGGATTTTTAAAAAAATGCTCAATGCGAAACACGAGCACTTGTAGATGGGATTAAAATGGTTTGGGTTGGTAAACCAACACCGGAAATTAATTATACAATTGGTTAGGCGACATTTAGGTTACGCCTCCTGGATTCTCTATAAGTTGGAGTGCTTCCTTGCTTGCTTGTGCATTTATTGGCTTAATTACTAAAACAGAAATCCCTTGATTACCATATGAAAGTATTTCGGGCCGACAAATAAATAGTTTAGGAAGTTAGGGTACCCTTTGGCGCTATCCCTGTTATTGTACGAGTTTCATTTCATTTCCTGCCTTGAATTTTTAATTTTATTAATCAAATATTGGAATTTTCCCCCCGAATTCAGATACAACGCATGGTCATAAGTGGCGGCAATTTCAAACCCGACACACTCAAGCCCAAGGAAGTGGTCTCATTGCTACTGGATGACGAGGAAATTGAAATGAAATGTGAGTAGATTAGAGATCAATATGGATACGAATTATTTGGGATTAATTTATATTTATTTATTCCTCTGACATTAGATCGCCAGGAGGCCAAACTCCAGTCTTCTTCGCCGATTCCAACAGCTACGCAAGGTGAACGCAAAAGACGTCATCCCAATAAGGTGAGAACGATTTGCCCCAATGAAAATCTTGTTGAAACCGAACGATCTGTGGGACATTTCATGCATGATACAGGCCGACTGCCTAATGGCTGTTTATTAGACCAAGTTTGCACTTGCTACACGACAAGTTTCGTCTGTGCTTCTTAATGAAAGTAAATGATCTTTTGAGTGAGGTTCAAATTGCGAATGCGTCCATATACAGATAGCAAAAGCGAGACGAAGCCCGGCTCGGTTGTTCTTGGCCTATGGCATTGCAGTGGTGGTCATGGTCACGTGATTCATGCAACATCACAGCACACACACACTGCAAGAACAGCAACAAAGACAATTCAATTTGCTACAAAACTCAACTCATCGTCTTGGCTGGTCTTGGTCTGCTACATAGCGTGCCTTGAACCTACTCCATGAGCCATAAGCCACTAGCACTTCCAGCCAACTATATTCATTCATCCAAGTGTCGTACACTTTGAAAAACTTCTATCATCAGCCCAATATAATTTCATTTTAATATGGTTCGTATTTTGAATGTATTAGGATGGAATTTTTATATTTAGTACCTAAAATTTTTTTTTTAACAAATTACAAATAATTAAAATGGCATTTTTTTCTGATCATTCATTATTAACTTTATTTTACACATTCAAATCGTATCCCAAGTCAATAAAATCTAAATTAATTTTTGCAAAATCCTATCCAAAATAGATTTAGAATTTTATTTTCCCAGTTCTTTTAAATAAGTATTTTAAAGTAATTTTTGAGAAAAGACATACTTCTAACCGTTTTTTAAATATATCCCTAATAACTTAAAATTATCTGATAAATATTAACATTTAACATTGTGTATTTCACTGTGTAATCGTACTCCCCACCTTATACTTCGTACTTACTCTCCAAAGCAAACACTTTGCTTTTACCCTACTTGGACTCGCAGTCGCTGTCTCTCGGAGACTCTTTTAAAAAACAGTTTCAAGTGCTTTTTGGTTCGCTTTGGTTTGGATCGGATTGGTTCGGTTTGGGGTGCAGGCTCTACTACTTACTACCAACCACCTCCAAACTCGGGCCCTGACTCTTCTTTGTGTTTTGTTTTTGTTGGTTTCGCTAAATGATTTTGTGCGTTCAATGGAACACTGATTATGGTCTGGTGCTGTTGTTGCTTCTTCTGCCTTTGGGTCTGGGTCTTCGTCTTGGTGGCTTCTCTCCGTTTTTGGTTCTACGGGCAGTGGTGTTGCGCCTCCTTTTAGTTGGTGGGGTACTCGTACTCGCACTCCACTCAAGTTCATATGCCACCGGCCGACACAATGCTATAATGGCACGCAGTCATATCCCGACCCCTCGCCACCGGGTTGTCAATTCATTTACGGTCGGAAGTTCAAGTTTCCAATGCGCGAATACTACTTATTATTATGTTTTCAGGTTAAGTGCAGCAAGCGTCTTGTTTCCTTTGGGCCTTTCGATTGGAGAGAGGCATTCATTTGGAACAGATTCTGTGTCGCAGTTGTTTATTTTAAAACGGTTTATTTTCTATACCGATATAATGATATATAATTTGAGAAAGTGCTTTACGCACAGTTGGTTTTGTTTGCTTAGATATTGTTACTAAATCAATTAAATTTTTTCTTTAATTTGGTTTAAATGAAGATATATGTTGATGTATAGAAAAAGATAATTTTGTTTTAAATTCGTTTATTTACACCCGTTCCTACAAAAACAATGCCATCCAACAACCTATTAAAATTAATTTAGTTGAGATTTAATATTAATATAAAAACTTTTCCTACTTCCTTTCAACTAAGTATAATTACTTTGCCCAGAACTCTTTTAATTTATTTTTGAACTACCACAACTTTTTCCCATTTCTCCCTAAACTTTAACAATGAATATCATTAATTTTGGAGCGATTTAACAAGCAGCTGAGTGCATGTAGGAAAATTGCTACTGTTTTCCCAGCAATTGACTATCAAAATCTGGGCAAAATGTATGCAAAACTCTTTACCCTACTTCCGAACAATTTCCTCAAGCATGGCAATTACCAGAGGCCCACCTCCAACCCCCGAATGCGTCCCATTTTTAACACTATCCCTCCGCTTGACCAGCCCATAACTCAAGTCTTATATGTAGTTTTGTTCAAGTTTGGCATGAATGATTTTTATGCCACACACTAGAAGGGGAGGGAGCTGAGATAACCTGGCATAAATTATAAATGGTTTAAAGGGGGAATTCTTGGGCCAGTTAGAAGATACGAACGATAAGCAACCGTTGTAGAAGAAAACCAGATATATCTCATTTCCGTTGGCCATTAAAATGCTAATTGATTTGATTGTTACATTCGGGAATTAAGGTATAAATTTTTTATGATATTATTTTTATTGTCTTAGGATGTAAATATGGGTGGTACCACCATCGCGGCCACTTTGGTTGCCCAAAACCCAGACGACGATGTGCCCAGTTGCAGTTCTGCGGCCAAACGCCTAAAATTGGAGCCAGAAGAGGATTTTATCGACGTGGGCATTACGTCATCGGCATCGAGTGTTGGCACGGATAGCAATCATCCGACTCTCAGTCAGGAGACCTATGTCCCAGGAGCAACCTGCGTCCAGCAGATGGACAATGATTCCGACAATGAGGCTCTGGTGGTGGATGGAGACAGCCCTACTCTGATGGGACCAAACGAGTCTATGAGTGAGTACCTATTGACTTTTTTGGGTGGCTTTTATCAAATATTTGGTAAATTACATATAAACTACCTTTGGACACATACTTTTCTAGTACTCAGTTGTGAAACCTTTGCCTTAAAAAATATTATATTACAAACATTGTCTTAGCGATATAATTTTGGCAAATTTATGCCTTTGACTTACCCATAAAACTAACAATGTCTTTAAATATGTGGGTAGCAAATATCCCATATCTCAATCTCACAAAACTTAAGCCCGATTTAAATGTTTTACGACGATCACTTCTCTAATGATTAATAACTGAAATTATTTGGTAATCACCTGAAGTATGAAGGCAATTGAAAATGTGGTCTACCAACTTAACTTGCCTCAAACTGAGAGCATGTTGGTTGTTATGAGTTGCCAATTGCATGTGGGATGTGCAACGATTGCAGCTTGTTAGCTCATGCGATTTGCATTCGAAAACGATAAGAGAAGGCAACCGAGGAGGGGGTGAGGTTAAATGTCTGCAATGCAGAAACATTTCAAATTTGTTTAACAATTAACCAATCGAAAGTACAAGACGTTGAAAAGTAGGCAACGAGCAAAAAGCAGCCGCAACAGCAAAAAACTGATGTGAAATCGCGACAAGTGCAGCGTCAGCAGATCGAAGTAGCAAGTTGCAGGTTGCAAGTTGCTGGAGGAGGAGACTAGCAGCAACAGCACCGATGGCATCTGTTACTTGACCAGTTTGTTGCCCGTTTGGTTGGCCAAATTGTGGCACACTCACTGATTGGCCTGCAAATTCGCTGGCGAACGCAGCTAATTTTGCCTATGTCCCCGTTTCATCTTGTTACTGCAAACGCGCGTCTGTCGCTTGATAACGTTTTCATTTCAGGAATACTACCAGTTAAACTGCTGTCTTATTCCCCTTCTTGGCAGACAGTGATGACAGCTTTGTGTTCAGCATAAACTTAGCTAAAGAGTGTGGGAATAGAAAAGGATAATACAAAATTTAGTACATTAAGAGGACATGTTTTTCTTTTTTCATACTTTTATTTTAACAATTTATCAACTAAAAATGTTATTAAATATAAATGAAAAATTAGTATTGTAATAAATAACAAGAAAGGAAAGCTAACTTCGGGCGGAGCCGAAGTTGATATACCCTTGCAGAATACTCTGTAAATTATATTCTCCAAAATTATTCATATGATGCATTCTTAATACTCATAAAAAATCCCAACTTCCTAACTTTAAAAACACCTAAGTTATGACATTTCCAATCGTTCAGTTATATGGCAGCTATAGGATATAGTCGGCCGATCCTTATGAAATTTGGTAGGTCGGATTGGCTGGCCAAATATAACACCCATAGAAAATGCCAACTTCCTAACTTTACAAACACCAAAGTTATGGCATTTCCGATCAATCAGTTGTATGGCAGCTATAGGATATAGTCGGCCGATCCTTATGAAATTCGGCATTTCGGATTGATTAGCCAAATATAAAACCCATAGAAAATCCCAACATTCTAACTTTACAAACACCAAAGTTATGGCATTTCCGATCAATCAGTTATATGGAAGCTATAGGATATAGTCGGCCGATCCTTATGAAACTCGGCATGTCGGATTGATTAGCCAAATACAAAACCCATAGAAAATCCCAACTTCCTAACTTAACAAACACCAAAGTTATGGCATTTCCGATCGTTCAGTTATATGGCAGCTATAGGATATAGTCGGCCGATCCCGGCCGTTCCGACTTATATACTGCGTGCAAAGGAAAGAAGGGTGTGTGCAAAGTTTCAATTCGATATCTTTAAAACTGAGAGACTAGTTCGCGTAGAAACAGACAGACGGACAGACAGACGGACAGACAGACGGACAGACAGACGGACAGACGGACAGACGGACATGGCTATATCAACTCAGGAGGTGATCCTGATCAAGAATATATATACTTTATAGGGTCGGAGATGTCTCCTTCACTGCGTTGCACACTTTTGACCAAAATTATAATACCCTCTGCAAGGGTATAAAAATGTGTCTTTGTTAAGTTCTATATTTTATAATTGCTACAGGAATAAAAAGTTTGTGAACTGAATGGCGCTATTTATTGAAAATTGGACAAGCCTGGCCGAAATAAGCCATATTGGCATTTCTTGTGCCAGATTTCCCAGACATACGCAACCCAATTTAATGTGGACGAAGTTGATTATGTTTGGTTCGCTTGTCACTTGGCGTTTGGTTTTTGTTTTGTCTTCGGTTTTTGCTTAGCATTAAAATGCCACAAAAAAGGAAGGAAAGTCGAAGAAAGACGGAAAGAAAAAACGGACCAAACTGCGGCTCATAAATAATTTTTATGTGCACAGGGCTTGGCCAAAAGACACAGCTAATTTAATCAATGAGCTCACGTGTTGTGGCTACATAAATTGCCAATCCGAGCTGGTTGCTCTTGTTGTTTTGATTTCGTAATGTTAACCGACATTTATTTGCTGTTTATTACTATGCCGAGCAAAATGAGAAATTGTCATGAATCCAGAGTTAGACATTCTGCTGTTGTAATTCTTTCAATAAAAATACTTCTTTGTGATCCAAGCGTAACTAAATTATTTGCGCGATGTTTTACACAACTTCATTCCATGACCAGACCTGACGAACACAGAAAGAAATATTTTGATTCAAACTGATGATTTGTTTAGAAACTATTATTAAATAATTAAACTTGTTGAAATACAAAAATGTTTACTGTTTGGTTTCATATTTCTAAATGATATTTACAATATATGTATATTTTTTTTACGTGTGAAGCACGAGGTAATCAAAGGGGAGCTTAATGTTATACAGCAGGATTGTTTTTTCTGTGCCGCAATTGACCACATTTTCTCTTGCCATCATTCAAATTTCCCAGTGCGTGCACAACTTTTTCTCATTCCGTTTAATTGTATTGTGTAACACAACAAGTGAAACAATTTCTTAATTGGTGGCATTCAATTGGGACACGTGCCAAATCTGCAACTTTCACATAAGCCAAACATAATGCAACATAACAAAATGCGAACCACTAAACGATGCCATTACTCCACCCAAATTAAATATTCATTAGGCCAACCCCTCGTAGATCATAAGATCCTTGTCCACTTTGTCAGCGGAGCTTGTGAGACATGAAAATAATTAAACCAAAACACTTGTTGAACATATACATACCCGTATATAAATCGGAGCTCTCAGGGAACAGCGGCAAAAAAGTATCTCATAGAATACACGTTAGCCATGAGACACAATTACGATGCGAATCTTAGCAGCAAATCAAAACTGCGAACAAAAACTTTGATTGGCCACAAAAATTCACACAGAAGCAGGTAATTACAAAACGAAAAAAAAAACATTCTCGAATGCCAATCATCGGAAGGCATATGAAAAATGTGCGTTTCGCTGAGCATTCTGAAGTATTCAACTATCAATTGCATAGGCTCGGTTTGCTAATGGTTCGATTTCGGCCCAACTTGCTTCTGGCCCGGACTTTGGCGCATAAATTTACACCTTATTGGCCCCCATAGCGCCCATAGCGAGTACGTGCCGCGGATCTTGGGTACGCGGCTCAACATTCGATTTGGCCAATTGCAGTTGGCCACTTTTCAGCCGGCCGGCTCGAAGCTCGATAATTAAAGTGGTTTTGACTCAAATTGGTTAATCTTATTTGCAATGTGAAAATGAAACGAATCCGCTTAAGAATTCGACTTTACACATATTGCTTTGGCTTTGCATTGGTTAGATTTAAATTCGTGCATTTTTAATTGGCCATGGGTAAAAAACAAAAGAATGGTGCTTTAAATATTTCAGCAGTGATTGATTGCAATCGAAATTAACTGTTTTTGACATCAACTGGACAGATTTTTTGTAAGCCACTTTTTTATTTCAATAACAATTAGTTTACTATTAAAATTATTTTAGAGTTTATTAAATGGTATATAATAACAGTATTAAAAATGATTACTATTATTTTATATTTTATTTGTCTTTGATCATACTATTATAATTTAAAGTTCTTCTTCAGTAAATGATGAAAAGTTTCCCTACTTAACGATTCGATGACGGTCCAATTTAATGATAGAAACTACCAAAACCCAAAATAAAATAAGTGCCCTTCAATTACAGCTCGCTACCATTATGCACCCCAAATGTTTCCAAAAAAGAACATACTTCATGCCAGTTTGGTGTATGCCTTTTTTAGTTGTTCGTTTTTGGGGTGTTGCCCAGTCACTATACGTTTTTTTTTTAGAACACGGCTCCACCAGGAAAAGGGAACGCAGGACCATCTGCCATCGGGGTTTTCGGTCATTAGCTAAATGTAGCGTAAAATTGCTGGCGTTTCCGTTAGTTCGAGTCGCATCTGTGGTGTCAATTTCACACATGTTATGACCACTTTGCGGTCGCCAGATTGATGACTCTTTCGGAACGGGACACAAAAGTCCTTGTCCTTGTCCTTGTTAGCTAATCCCCTCGAAGTTCCGGCCCGGAAGTGTCCAGTGAATTGCTTGGACCGGGGCTTAAATTTAAAATTCATGTGGCAAAGCCAGACAAAAATCTCTGTGTGGCGGCAACAAATCATGACAATGGCAGTGAACACAATAATGGCCACTGCACCTCATCAAAAGCAACACGCTGCCGAAGACGATGATGAAGATGGGCGACACAGCCAACAGAGACCACCACTTGAATCCCGGCCAGAAGGCGGAGACAGCGTTAGAAAGGCCAGAACGAGTATCGCAGGCATACGACAATCGCCGGGCAAAAAGTGCGATCGATTGCAATGCGCACCGAATTTCAATTGGCTCCAGGAGCGGACCCCATCGAGATTGGACTCCAAGCGGGGAATACAGTTGCTGCAGTTGGCCATCACCAACTGGCCACGAAAGGAATTGGGTTATGACCTCGAATGCGTGTCGCCACGGGCAATGCCACAATGCATCTGCTTGGGGCCTCTAGCTTTCATCGAACCATGGACTCGTGATTGAGCCGTTTGGGTTCAGAGAGGCATAGAGAAGCAGCAAGTATCTTCCACATTTTTCAAGCATTGTGCCCGGCAGAGTCCCAGGATTGAAAGAAATGCTAGAAAAATGTCTACTAAGGAATGTATTTTTTCAAAGCTACAATTCTATTGTTTACGATCTCTCAAGTAGAAATGCCTTTGAAGGGGATTTAAATCCCGTTTACTTTAAGACAAGTGAAAAAGATATAATAAATTCCATGAGTTGGTAAAAAACTATACAAATTTTCTGGTTTTCTTTAAAATTTTGATTTTATTAATTCCGATTTAAATAAAGTGAATTTAAGTTTGATGAATTCGCATTTTATATGTTAAGTAGTCCTGGATATCATTTTCAAAAAAAATATATATAAAAGACCAAAAGTGAATTGAAATTATGCCATGATATAAATCAGGTTAATCCATTGGTTAAAATGGTTCTAAAAGTCTACGAAAAAAAGAGAAAACGCTCAATGAAAATTCGGAAAAAAGTTAAATTTAAGCGCGTAAACCATTTGGGTAATTCTTTGATCAGGCACACTACGACGCATCGTAGAAAAATTCCAATTGAGGTAGGACAATGCCACCCGCAAAAAGACTCCGCGCTTCGACGAGGGAGTGGTGCGATCGGAACTCGAGACCCAAGTCTCCGATACTCACTTCCGCCGTCCAACCGGAACCTACGCGTTGGCAGAAACCAGGACCCATGGGTCGAAATGATTGGGCCAACTTCCACAGTCGCTATCAAGTAGAAGTAACGACTTTGCGTAACGAGATCGAGAGACTGCAAGGTGGCAAGCAGAAAGTAAGCAGGTAAATGTTCGCTTTCAAAGCTCCCAAATGAGTAGCAAACTCCTGGTAAAAAATTCATTACTTTAAAAAGGGAAAACAAAAACTTCTAAAAATACCACATTGCTAGGTATTTCTTGGATAGGGCTTAAACAAATTCCTTCTAAAATGCAGTTTGTATTTTTTAAAGGAAGAACTTTTCTTAGACCCTAATCTTCCCTTAGAAAAAAGAAAAGTAGCAAGCCGACTTCCGAGGATGATAATTATCTGAGGGAGAACCAACAGCGACTGAGCAGGCCGCGCTGGCAGCGTGAAAAGTATATCACACCGCCGCCGGAGCAGTTTTCCTATCGACCACATTTAACCGGAAGATCCACTCCACGACCGGAACATGGTAGACCCGTCAAGAAGCCGACGGTTCCGTGCTGCTTCCAGCATGAAGATCTCGAGACGGAGTTCTGGGCCAACATGAGATTTCCTGTATCGCGGAAAGCCCTTCGAGCCTGCCCCAGCAAGAAGATCTGTGAACTCTCCCAGCCACGTCAATTCCCTCGGAAGGCCCACTGTTCGATGGCCGAGGATCAAATTGTAAGACGCCGAAAAATGACACCGCGGCAGTGGCGACTTCATTTGCAGCGTCTGGAGTTTCTGTCCAAACCAAATCCACGGGTTTTGGCCGACCTAATTTGCTGCTGTTCCTAAATCAAACCAAAAAGATTGACCCTAAACTACAGATTCATTAACTAAATAACTTACTATTTAGTTGGTTGAACTGTAGTATAGTATTAATCAGTTTGTGTACATTTGAAATTGTACAGATGTCTAAACAAGAACATAAATAAAATTTATAAAAAACCATAAGTATTTTAGGCACTAACCGAATTGAATGTTTGATAGAAATTAAATTAATAGCCAAAACATTTAATTTGTGATTTAAGTAGTAATTTTGCTATGACTGAACAGTAGGCCGCCATTGCTTATTCAGAAAAAATGATCTCAGAACATCCAGATAGTACAGCTTAGTTAGTCCTAAGGCAACAGCTCCAAAATTTTCAAAAAGTGTAAACGTAAAAAGCCTATAAAAAAATTATAAAAATGATGGGTGACAGTTTTGGAATTGGCATGGGCAAATTGAAGAGCACAGAACCTTCGATAGGACCTTTAGAACCGGATAATGATTATTACGAAGCGGAAACGTTGCTACAAAAATCGAAGTCGCATCATACGCCACAGCCCTCGTGGGTGGCGTGGTGCGAGCGGAACTCCAAGCCGGTGAAGCGTCCGAGGCCCCGGGTCGTCCGAAAGTTGACCAAGTGGCAGAAGAATGGACCGATGACTAAGAAGGACTGGAAGCATTTCTGCGCATGGGCTGCCCTCCGGACAAGGCCAAGAGAACCTGAGCCGCCGAAACCTGCGAAACTCCCTTGCGTGGCCAAATACCTACCCTGCGCCAAAAAGAAGCGCCACTTGGATGAGGATGAGCTGCGAGAGAGGATGCTGGAGTTGGCGAATCCCCGAAAGGTCACCCAGAAGTATAGTATAACTGACCGCCCGCCGGCCTACTCCCCGGTGATCTCTTGGGGTAAACCGCCTCATCGCGATCCTGGCAGACCCTTTAAGCCGCCCTTCGTGCCCGTCTGTTTCCCCACCGACGAACTCGAGGCCGAGTTCTGGGCCCAGCTTAGGTTTCCCGTCCGGCAGGCAGCCCTCTTGGGGAAGGTCACGCCCCGCATTTTAAATCTGTCCAAGCCACGGTCTTATCCACCAACTCCACACTGCCCGATTCCCGAAAGACTACCGGATCCATTGGATGTGCCTCCGCCACCGCGCAAGAAGTTCACCAGCAGAGAATGGCGACTGCACCAGATCCGACTGATTTATCTGTCCAAACCCGTCATCAGAAAGGAGCTGGATTACATATTTTATAATATTTAACACCCTCTTGGGTCTTATAGCTGCTCTTTGTATTTGTCCAACTCGAAATTTATCTATTAAAGCATTTTGTGGACTATAGATTTAACTTATTGCATATAGCAAACAATATTCTTATAAAATATAACCTGTAACCAAAAGTGTTAGTGTGGGTTTAAAAAAAATCGGTTCATAGAATATAGGTAGTAGTTGTAGGTATTAAAATGTAAAAGTTAAAAAAAAATACGTTGGTATATGTATAATTTTTGGAATTATGTATCATATTTCGTCTGCAGCTTAATTGGCTATTAATTTATCAGTTTTAATGTAATTTTTTCAAAACCAATTCGTGTGAAACAACAGGACGGGACCAAGTAGGCGCTTATCCAGTCGCCAGTTTGATTTTATACCTCAACCAGTTTAGAATTTTACTTTTTTATTAATCATCGCCATAAGAACACAAAATTTGATTTTTTCAATTAGATAAAGTTTCATCTATTGCCAAATTTTAAGTGATTTTAAATCAATAATCGGGCCACCATGAGCATCGTGCAGGAGGACACCAAGGCGAGTATCCTCAGTGTGGTGAAGCCGCCGCCGAGTTGGGTGGAATGGTGCGAGCGGAATGCCAAGCCGATCGAGCGCCGTTTGTACCGGGAGAAGCGTTACTTGACCCGATGGCAGATTCCGGGACCCATGAAGAAGGCTCAGTGGAAGGAGTTCTACGAGTGGGCAGCCACCAGATCCATGCCCAAGGAGCTGCCGCCGGTCGTCCGGGAGCCCATACCCTGCTTCCCCAAGTATTTGCCATGTGGCAGAAAACCGCGCCAAATCGATCCCGAGGAATTCCAGGAGAAGGTTGCTAAGCTAGCCACGCCCCTCGAACGGAAGATGACGCCGAAGCACGAGTACATCTATCCGGTGCATCCATACTCCCCGATAATTGTCTGGGGTCAGCCACCGCTCCATGACAAAGGACGACCCTTTAAGCCCCCACCAAAGCCGTGCTGTTTCTTCAACGCCGACATCGAGGACAAGTGGTGGGCCGAACTCCGCTTCCCCATTCGCAAGGCCGCGCTCAAGGCCACGATCACACCACGAATCCTTAGCCTATCGAAACCGAAGATCACGCCTCAATTTCCCCCGCATTGCTACCATCCGGATCATATCTACGATGTCCTCAATGTCAAGCCGCCAAGGAGGAAGAAGTTTACTCCCCAGGGATGGCGTCTTCACCAGATCCGATTGCTATATCTTTCCAAGCCAGTGTCTCGTCCCGAATACGAGTATTTTTATATGTAATTTAGTGTCACATGGCGTCCAAAGCAACTGTTTTCAATCCAAGATAATTGTTTATGATTTCAAATATATGTTGTACTAAAGTATAAGTATTTATATTGTAGTTATATTGTAAATAAGCGCTTTAATTTATATTCCATCTTTAAGATGTTCTTGTATATCTTTAGAAGATATCTTCTAAGATTACTGAAGTCTACTTCAAAAAAAAAGTAATATTTTTTAAGTTACTTTAAATAGTTTAAAGCTTATGAAGAAATTTAAAGCAATTTGCTTTAGTAGTCTTTTCTAAGTTCAGTTACAGTCAGGTCTTTTTTCACGGATACGATTCTCTACGGATCGTAGCAGACTTTTGCAAATCCGTTAAAAAATTAACAATTTCACACAGATAAGAATCGCAATTTATTCGACTTTTTATGGCTTACAGTAGCTGGCAATAACAACAACAGCGAAATGTAATCTAAGCCTGCAAATCTGAGAAGGAAGAGGAGAGCCCGGTGGCCGGGAAAAAAGTGCCAAGGAGCCAAAAGATCCAAAGAGCCACTTAGTCATGGCCGGCGCATTACAGTCAAAGGTGAGGCCTTTCGAGCCGAGATTCCCTTCTTTCACTTCGTTTATCAGGCGTAACAAACATGCGTCACATTGACTTTGGCACCGGGCCCAGGGAGCTAGGATCAAGGTTCACAAATGATCATCAGTCAAATCAATTAGATAATTGAATGAATGATTTGTGAAATCCGATTATGCTCGCCGGATTCTTATTTCTCCTTTCCTGGGCTTCATTCTCTGCTACTTATTTTTTTACATTCCGTTTTTTGTCGTATTTTGCTTACTGCAATTTCGTTGTTGTTATTTCTTCGGCCTTTCGTGCCAATTGGCAATATGGAGAGGGCCCAGACGAAGTAAATGTAACCCCGACAAATAGCAGCAAATCAAATAAAAGCGAAAATATTTATTACAATCATAAATACAACTGGAGCGAAGGGAATACTATTGATAGTATAGGCTGAAGTTCGGTGGGTGGACGAGGGGCGTAGTGTCAAAGGATTTTTTGGATACTCTTTGATGGGTTACCATAAGATTATTCTGCATGAATTGAAACTGGAGATTGTAAAACAATATTATACTCGATATTTTTATATATGAACGCCGCAATGTTATTCCAATGTGTTTATGCCTTATAAATATATTTTTATATATTTAACTTACAACTTACATATGAACAAAATTTAATCCTTTTGTAATATATTTAATATTCCTGTTTTAAAAAAAGGGCAAGCCATTATTATTACATTTTCAAGACTTGTACCTTACATTTTTAAATATAAAATACGAAATAAAATATTCCTTTTTTATTTTATTACCATAATAGGCAATTTTAAACCCATATTCCACTGTCATACCCTAATCATCTGGCTTAGCTCTAGCTAGACTTCATCCATCAAGCTCAACATTTCCATTTTGCCTGGTATTTTCCAGCAATTTCCCTTCCCTGGCTGACAGCTGAATTATGCTAAAAAGCGAAACTTTGGTTGTTGCTGGTGTTTTTTGATGTTTTGCTGCAATACCGCGACGTTTGACCGAAATACATGACAAAAGCAGCAACAAACCAAGAACGAATTGCCAAAAAAGCGAGGAAAACCTCTTGTGGGCTGTGTGAATTGCCTTGGATTGAATATTATTGATAAAACTTATGGCTGAAATCCAAAGTTCAGTTCAATAATATTGCATTGCCGTTCATGTTGTTCTCGTTCTCGTTGTAACAGTAAAAGTAAACCCTATCATTAAAAGGAGACCGACTGCTGTTGGCCTCTCTCTTTGGGCTTATAGAGTGGGGACATAGCTATCGTGTAGACAATTCCTCTGGCGACTGTCGATGGCGATGATCACTGCACCGACTAGACAATGTCGATCATGAAGTGATGATCATCGGATTGCCTACGATGATGCTGTTGGCACTTGTGTGCGTTGCATACCGAAATAGCAAAGCGCCAGGTATTGTCGCCAAACACCAGACAAGATACTCGTACCGAACCACAACTGTGGAAATAGAACCAGTAGAACAACAACATTGTTGTCTGACAATGTTCGTCTGCCCGCTGATTGCAACTTTTTTGAGCTCCTCGTTGTTTATTTGTTTGTTGTCTCTGTTTTATTTATACAATTTACAGTTAAGCCGTCTAAAGTCGGTGACATATACCTATTGAAACAGAAATCTTTAACCCTAGAAATCGCGATTTCTGAGTTCCATATATTGGACTTCAAATAATTTTCAAGTCTTTGGTTAATGAGGTAGCGCTTAGATATATCAAAATAAATACATTAGAATTTTTTAACTTTTTCGGCCCATTTATATATCTATATATTTAGCTTGAACATGTTTATTTGTGATAAAATAAATGTATTTAATATTTTTTTTTCATAGCTTTTATGAATACTATATTAAGACTACGTTTTCTGAAAACAAATATTCCGTTCCGTTCAATATTTCTCTTAGACGGAATTTAAATATCACATTTCTAATAACAATGAATCAAATACAAAAATGTTGTAAAATTTAGTTTTACGTTAATATTAAGGTTTATATTAGATAGAAATGCTCATCTGTGGGTTAAGAATTATAATATGGAAATATGGGCATCCGCTTATTTATTCTTTGACATTTGGTGAAGTCTGGGCCACGATAAAAGTTGAACTTGTTTGTGGATGCCATTTTGCCATTGTCTCTGGGGCATAAAAAGTAACACGTGAAGTGCGCGAATATGGTCATGGCACAAATAACGATGGTGCGGATGGTGGGTGCTGGCAGTAGAGATATCTCTGTCAGGAAACCCAAGAAGGGATCCCCGCCAAGCAGCCGGCCAAGACTCAGGCCATCCCCATTAATTAAGCATTTGGGTTGCAAGCCATAAAATTGTGGTAAATGTAACGAAACTCCCATTTTAATGTTTGTTTTTTGATATATATTGGGCCAGATGTTTGTGGATTCCGGCCAACCGCAATTAATCAATACCGAGTCGCCTATAAATTTTCGTTCTTCTTGCAGACTTCCTCGGCGACCTGAGCAGTATTTCGCCGATGCGGCGACGTCACCACCCGCGCGGTACAAAGCGTGGACGTCCGAGGGGCAGCACGCGTCGCGGCGGCGGACATGGTTCGATCCAGCGCGTGCAAACGCCGACGCCAGCGGTACCGACAACGCCGACGCTGGCAGCGGCGGGAACAGGAGCGGGCACGGGAGCGTCTCCACCCCTGCCGCAGCAGGAAGTAAGCGGCGGTGGCGACAACGCCGGCGTCTCGCTAAATGAAGAAGGTAAGCTCACTCGAAGAAAATATCTATTAGAAATTTCTCAGGAAAATTAGTCACTTAAATTAATGTCATGAATTTGTTTGGACGTTCGATTAGTTAATTTATTTTTTAAAAAAATCAAAAAAAAATATATATATTACAAAGAATGTTATTAAAAAAATGAAACCTTTTAAGCATAAATTTATATGCCAATTCATTAGTAGTTATCATAGAAAAGTTACAAGAAATGTTGATTTACTACATTATCTTTTAAGTAATTTTAGGATTTTAAAGAATTTCAAATAAGAATTAGAAGCAAAAATTAGATTGCATTTTAAGGATCATTATATGAAGAGCCAACCTCATTTAGCTGTTTTTATATTTATTTTTCCAGTGCCTGTAAGTTTCCTTCCGACACGCAACTCACACTCCTTAAGAAGTAAGCCTTCCGAAGGGATTTCCCCCTCTGTTGAATCGAGTGTCACTTGTCGCTAATCGCTTGTCATAATCACGTTTATCGCTGCCTTTTCCGGAACAAGTATTTTCGGGTACTCAGTCCCCTCCCCGTTTGGTGGTATTATCTCCTCACTACTTTGTGGTCGATCTACCGGTCCCCCTTTCGTTTTATTCATTTTTTTGTGAATATGTCTCGATTACAGCCCGCAGGAATAATGGTCTACTTTGTGGTACGTGACAATTTTAGCGCAGTCCCGGGCGTTTTTACATTACATAAACATTTTCAATATGTCCCCCCTAAAATAAATATCTATAGATAAAACTTCCTTCAATGTTCTCCCCTTTTAGTCGACTTCAAATCAAGCCAAATATTTGTTTAAAGATTTGCATCTGGCTGCATTATCATTTCCCCTTGACACTTCCTCACATTTCAAATTGACTTGTGGAAAGGAAAAAGGACAACTAATTTAAACATTAATGCCTTGGGCATTTTAAAGAACACGTAGCGATCCCCAGATTGTTGCCAATTCGATTCAGAATTACGCAAAGTAAATCGCATCTGTGAAATGGTAAATTTCCCGAATTTAAAGTCAAACAAATGTAATTTAAAGGGAGAAAAATACTGCAACAATGTGGCAATTTTCAGTTGGATTTTCAGGCGCACGACAAATGATAATTGAATAAATCCGCTTAAAATCCCAGACGCCAGACAAGGGGAGCGGGGCACACGTGACAGAAACACGTTCCGTTGCTGTTGGCCGAAAATGGAGACATAATCGCAATGGCAAATACGCAACGTTGCATAAATTACACTTGGCCAGAAGGAGGAGGGCCAGAATGTTTCGGGGGACTTTTGGCAATTAAAAAAACCACAATTGCATGCATTGCAGGGGCAAACGAGTAAATGCGAGGATGCGAGGAAACGTGCGGTGACAAATGCTAGTGGAATTAGCAAGAAAGTTGCTTATCCTTTGTTCAACTTGATTTGCTCGTTTTCCATTCAACTAATGGAATCTGAACGGAGTGGTAGTTCAAATTTGAATGGCAGATGCAACTATTCTAACTTATTTTCCTAGTTGTCAGAATTTATTTTTACGATTTTAAATGAAACTTGTAGGATTTTAAATAAAACAAGAGAGAACGCTATAGTCGAGTGCCCCGACTATCAGATACCCGTTACTCAGGTAAAGGGAGTGCGAGGGAGATGGAGACAGAAACTTTGATTACGCATAACTTTTTAACGAATGGTCCAATTTGAAAAATTTCTTCTACATTTCGATAGGTATTGATAAACACAATAAAACTGCATTTTTACTTTTCCGAAATATTTAAATTTTTAAAATCGTATATAAGCGATTGTGGGCGTTAAAGGGGGCGTGGCGCCTTTTTGAAACAAACTTGCGCTGCGTAGGAACTCCTAGAATCTGCATGCAAAATGCCAATCTTCTAGCTTTTATAGTTTCCGAGATCTCAGCGTTCATACGGACAGACAGACAAACAGACAGACGGACAGACAGACGGACAGACGGACAGACGGACATGGCTATATCGACTCGGCTAGTGACCCTGATCAAGAATATATATACTTTATAGGGTCGGAAACGCTTCCTTCTAGCTGTTACATAATTTTGCACGAATACAATATACCCTTTTACTCTACGAGTAACGGGTATAACTATGATTGCTCAAATACATGATGAGCTATATTGAAAAACTACCAAAAAATGGTGTTTATAATCAAAATATAAGAAATGAAATAATAGACCAATTCATTCCCAGAAGCATGTTAACATTTTTTTAATGTTTAGGGGCTTAACGTGTAAACAGACAGGCGGTATTTAATTTGTTGTTACAATATTTTCATTGCCAAGAATGAATCACTTTGGAACTAGATCCAATCTAAATGTTGCTCCCTTTGTACAACTTTTTTTAGCTAGATCTTGAAAAAATAAAACTAAAAACAATAAACTTCTTCTTTTTATAGACTACGGATCCAGCCCCGTTACATCTGGACAATCGCCAGGAATGTCCGGCAAGCGCGGACCAGGACGACCACGTTCCAAGACCGCCACACCGATCAGTCGCGGAACCCGTGGAGCACCACGTGCCCGTCGACCCATGGGTCCACTGCTGGTGCCCTTGGGACGCAGTCCGGATGCCACGCCCCCCAGCAGCAGTCCGGCCACAAGTCGAGCACCCAGTCCTTCAACTCATGCCGGCGCAGGATTGGAGTAGTTCCGTACAAAAATATAATTCTATTTGAAAGACGAAATATATAAAACTTGAAAACAATTGTAAATAATTTTCGTTTTTCTGGTTCTATCAATAATGTACTGCACATTCGGAATTTACTTAAGTTTTTACATGCATATAATAGTAAAATTGTGTTCAATACACAATCCTGAAAATTTTTGATTTCCCTTAAATGGCTAATTAATTTTGGTATGGTTCAATTAGTTTCTTCGCGGTTTTTGTTGAATTTCATTCCCATTTCAAATTGTTCATTAATATGAAATAAGCTTAATTTATTATTTAATTATGTATTAATACAAATTTATAACCTCTATGCTCTGGATCGATTAGTATATATAGGAATATAACTGGATCTTACTTTGATGGGATGTAAGCCAAGATAAATTTGAAAAATGCCATGAACTACTCTAAGGATAATTTTAATTGTTTTTGCTTGTAGAAAAAAAGTAAGTAAACTGATATTATTGAAAGAATGCTTAGGACTTCCTGTTTTCTAAAATTTAAATTCGAATCCCTCTTGTTTTGTTACTTTCTCGTTTTGTTAATTAGTAAATGAAAAGTTCTTTTTATAGCTGGTGCAATCATAAATTAATAAACTTGTAAAACTGTTAAAGCGTTTCCGTTGAAACTTGTCGCATTAGCCTGAGTTTTGAGTTCGTTGGCCAAGACATTGTAACAAAGGTGTTCACGCATCAGCCGTCAAAATAATTATAGACTGCGGAAGCAAAACTATCAAATGAGAGGAGTAATAAAAAATTAGTTTCATGTTAGACAAATTTCAGTTGTAATCAACACCGCCGACGCGTCGAAATTAGCGCAACAATCGAGCATACGCATCCAAATAAAACTCGTAATTAAATTAAGGAAAATGGGGAAAACTCTGTGAGAAAACGAAGCTGAAAAGGGCGCTGAAATCATTGTCATTTTGGCAATTAGTTACGCAGCATGATTCCCGGTACAAAAGGTTTCTTTAGGCTGCAGTTTATGTTGAGTAGTAAAATTATACATATTATATTATAACGGCGGAATTATGTTAAGGTAGCAGTCTTATAAATTAAACAGGACACGCTTCTGTGCCAAACAATAACTCAAAAATACAAAAATCAACACAGATACAAACGAGCTAAACTAGCTGGACAGGATTTGCGGGAATACTCTACACATGATGAAGAAAATTTGTACTTTATCAAGGATCTAGAACAATAACAATATTAAATGCTATATATTTATGGAAAATAGTTTATAAAAATACATTCCATGGGTGAGTAAGTTATTAACATCAGATTGAAATACATTTATGATCAATTATATGTATTAATGTATATAAAATGTTAGTCATATACAATGACGAATGGGTATATTATTTAATTTTGAGATTACCAACCTAAGAAAGTGTATAAAGTTTACGATCACTTTTGGTCAATAGCTTTTTCTTTCCGCTGTGGTAGCAGTAGCTTGGCATTGACTCTCTTGGCATCTTTGACTTTTCAATATGACAATTCTTTATATTCCTACTGCAACTTGTTTTCCTTTCTGTTGCTATTTTTTCTCCTCCTCTGAGTCGCCGGCGGCCACTTGGCGACATTGGCGAACTGTCATAAGCTGCACGTTTCGCCTGTAGCCGCTGCAGTTGGAGAATCCGAGAAATGTTAAAAGTGTGCATTTATGCCAAGTGGCATCTGAGGCGGCGTCGGGCAGCCAGTCGCTCTTCTCCCACTCCGCCCCCCGATTCATCTCTCTGCACTGGGGGCACTGCGTTTATTAATTAGCAGCCATCCCGAACTCGAATCGGTACTATAGTACAGCTCAAAAGGTCCAGAATTGCACAATGTTATACTCTTTTTGATACTCCGCCACTACCTTTCGGTTTTGTTTTTTTCTGAAATATTAATAATTTAATAAAAATTATAAAATTTTTAATAAATTATAGAAAGTCACGTATAAATATATAGATTTCACTTTTTACCAAAATATAAATTTTTTTTATGATTTGCTTATAGAAATGTTCCCACAGTTAATTTTAATTTGTAAAGTTTGTTTTTATAAAGTTAAATATTGTTGAGTTTTCCAAAGATATCAAACATATTTTAAGCTGCAATAATTTGTCTTATTGCAAGACAACGAATATTTTTTTCCAAAACTATTTCATTTCAGTTTTTCTGTAGTAAAGAAAGCATTGTTTAGTATTAGTTTATTACAACTAAAAGGCAAATAGTTAATGAAAGAGTGATCAATGTTTCGATATAACAACCAATCCTTTAATTCTTGTTTTTTCCTCAATTAAAAATCACAAACAGCATTTCAATCTGAGGTTGTTGTGGTTGATGCAGGAAGAGAAAATTGTTTAAAAGCCGGCAACAGGTTGGTCTGCCTCATTGGCATCGGTTGATAAGTTGAGTGAAGTTTGGAGCTTGCCTTAGTCGTGGAGCTCTACAGATTTTGCCAGGACTTTCTTAAGCCCCCTAAAAAAATGGTAGTTAATCCTTTTTGCAGCTGCTTCCGTGTTCGCAGCAGGCACAACCCAAAAACGAGCTCAATCCCTTCTTGTGATTTAATCCAGCGGGACTAATAAGCCGCAAGGAGGCAGACTTGAATCCTTTTCCGGCCATTCTCTTTTTTGGGCTACAGCTAACCTAAGCCGGCCAAGATGGTTCGTGGTCTATAAATCAAGACAATAAACATGGAACGGAGCGGAGCGCAGATTGCATGGCCACACCTTGAAAAAATAAGCAAAAGGATTAAATTTTCTTTAAAAGCGAGACACAAAAGGGGGAAATCCAAGTTCCACTCCTTTCAGGCTCTGCCTACGCATGGAAGCGGCTAAGTCCTTGAGTTCTATGCATGGGCATCTTCCAGCTCATCCTTAAAAAACGAAGAATACGCAGGCTGCTCTAGTTTCCCTGCCACTTAGGAACAACAGAAGAAAGATGGGATGAACCCTCAAAGGACTGGAGAATGCCATTCATCTGGCAGTCTATTTTCGGGAAATTAAAATGTCTACTCCTACTATTTGTCTGCGAGGGTACGGCCTCGGTTTCGGTACGTCTTCGGGTTTTTTAGGGGCTTTGTACATCCCTCCAGCGACTATCTATCATATGTCCCCATCCCCCAAACCGGATGAATGATGAATGTGCGCGTTTGGCGTCTCTAATTCAATTTATCTTAGACAAAGTCAACGTCTCTCACTCTATAGCTCCGTATAATGGATATAATGACGGTGCGTAGAGCGAACTTTGCTGGAGGGGCAGATGTCCTTTGGTTGTTTTTTAGGCGGCTGTTGCAAATGTCAGCGGAAAATAAAGTACCGAGGCATTCAAGCTGTATTAAAACAGATACTACTTTGAGCTACTCCCCCTTTTCAAGTTCGTTGTCTAAGTCATTTGTTTGTACGAGTCTTCGGAAACTTCGGCCTTCGAATCAAAATTCCGAAAATGTTTGGAAAAAACCTAAGATATCCGCCGCCCAGGGGGAACATCCGCCAAGTCAATGCAAACAATTTTAATGTAAATATTTGAAACAACATGCCACGACTGCGGTACTAACATAATGAGCTCTGCTCTTCAACCTGTTGAGGTCCTAGTCGGTTAAAAATAGTGCAGACGGAGCAGTCATCTCTCGAGCTGAAAGTCGCTGAGGAAAAAACTTGCCCGGGAACCGAGTGGAAAACACGTTACCAGCTTTAATGCATCAATTAAACTTTTTTCTTTTAATTATTGTAGCTGCTGGTGCTGTTGGTGGCTTTTTGTTCCTGCTACTCCTGTCAGGCAACATGCTGCGCTCTGTTTGTTTTTCTACATTTATTTTTTGCACAAATTGTTGCCTGCTTGGGGCATCTTGGAAGCTCGTGTTTAGTGTTTTTGAAAGCCAGGCCAAGTCACTTGTCCGCAACTGCGCTGTTTGTTTATTGATATGTGTTCATTATTGAATTAGTTGCGGGTTACGCTGGTTTGTTTTAATATACCCTCACCAAGACAACACAATTTATTAAGTCTATTGATGTGTTTTAGGAAATCTAATGAATATACAAATATTTGCAATGATTTTTTCATTATACATGTACTTAATTAAAATAATAAATCCTTTCTTAATCGCACGTAAAGAACATATATTTAATTATATTTATATTTTGTACTTAACTTAATTCCAGAAGTTTTAAGAACTCAATTAGGGTATTCGCGAATTCGGCTGTTCAACGCGTATCCTACCTCAAGCTTTGCTTTTGGTTTTTTCTACCTTTTTTTCTGCAGAATTGGTAACAAAAAGTCAATTAAGTTGGCAAAACTTGTTGTGGACATCTGGCATTTCGCATTTTGTTAATGTGGGAAATTTAAAGCTTTTAGTACTACATTTTCGAATTGGTCGATATAAAAATAGAACTTCAATTGTAGCTATATTGAATAGCTTTGCTGACTCAAGATTTTATGCATTTGCTTTTTATAGTTGGAAGCTATTCAATTTTAAAGCTTATTTCATAGCTTAGTTCTTTATCGAAAGACGAAGATCACTTAAATTGAATTTCGTTGGACACCCCAACACATGCCCAAATTTCAATTTACTCAGTTCCCTCAGACAATTCGCCATTTAACAATTACTCAATTCTGTTGTGCTCCCCAAGCTGAAAACCTGCAGGTAACGCTTTTGTCATTAACATATCGCATCCTGTTGATCTGGACGACGATCCGCAGATCCCCGGACTGAAACCGAAACTTGACAAATATGCTTTCAGGTCTAATTATACCCAAGGAGCTTGACTGGATGAGCATGCTCACTGAGCAGGAGCTGGCCAGGTGACCCCGATTCGGGGAGACCCCTCTGGCTTGGCCAGTTCGCTTCGGGTTGGTCTGTAATTACGCGAAATGAAAATGTGAATGTCAACCGGCGAGGGGCAGTAAAAAATGGTAGCAAATTAAATTGTATTAAAATTTTTCGTATTCCTGTTCATTTTGTACGTTATTTGTTTCGTTTTTTATTCGCGTGTGAACCGAATGGGTTAACATCAGACCGAAAAAGAAACTTGGATTTTAGGCG